TTCTTCACTCTTGGCCAAGTACTGCAGAGACTTGGTCAGGGATTTGATTAAAGTGGACGATCAAAAGAGCGGGATTTCAAATTTGAACCAGGACAGGGGTCGAGTACCGGGCTTGATTAAATTGAAAGAACTCAGGAAGGGACTTGGGTAGATTTGGCATGGCTGGGATAAGACCAGGAGCGGGATTTTATTAAATTGGGGCTATGATCCAAGAAAACTTCAAAAAACAACTAAAACATAGACAATCTACTGTAAACTCCTGATTCTTAAGCCCTAAGCCCCTCAACCCCCAAAAACCTCTTTAAACACCAGGAAGGAATACCTGAGGCTCAAGCTCTCCGTCTCGCCCGGTTCGTCCGATGCGATGGCAGTACTGCCTGAGATTCTCGACTACATGACTGTTTCCAACAATGGGGGTTCAGGGTAGTTTACGATTTAGGTTTAGGGATTTAGGGCTTGGGGTTTAACGGGCTTATTCGGGGACCTCAAGGCATGCCCCAGACTACTATAATCCTTATCACTGGGACCCCTAAGATGGTAACCCTAGTCTTGAAGAACCCGCATATCAGCAGTCAATGTTTCCCATAGAATTCATGGACAATCGAAGGGAAACAAAAATAATGGCTACTACTATCTCATTTAATCCGCGCTTTTGATTCTGATTCGTGAGGGCGCCCGCTCCCCACAGCCATAATGTCCGAGCTTCATTCTTAGTTTGGGGAGGGGCTTCTAAGGGGGAGTGTAGCCCCAGCATAAAAGTGAAAATGGCAGTGGTTGGCTGATTGAAGTCTCTTATACTTTGATGATTGTGCTCAATGCGAAGCCCTAAGCTGTAAATCCTACACCTTAAGCGTTACCGGCATGGACGCGTTGCTCCAGATTCGGCGGAAAGTCGTAGTTGATGACGTAGCGCCTCAGGAAAATCGAAGGTTCTAAAGGTTGAAGGGATTTAGGGTTGAGGGTTCAAGGTTTAGGGTCACAGAATGAGGGTATGGTCCATAAGGACTATTATACGGGATTATTGCTCCGTTAGGGTTTTGGAATGTAGGATTTGGGGTTTATTCGCTTCGTGCTTCGGGTTTAAGGTTGAGGGGATTTACGGTGTCCTTAAATATATGCATGGCATATACTTTGGGTCCAACTGCTTCTAGGGTCAGAGATACTTCGGTGCCAGAGAACATTCGGGATATTGGACCCCTAGTTTGAGGGTGTAAGCATTGAAGGTTTCGGGTTTGAGGATGCCGGGGTGGGGATTCAGGGTTCGGAGCCCCATGGTGGCGCAAGCTCTGTTGCGCCGCCTGCGCAATCTTGCGCCCGGATCTTGTATTCCCTTGACATTACCTCTGTAGAATCGGGAAACGCGGGTTAAATTGACAGCGGCATATCTTACACAATTTGGGTTTGGGGAGTAGGTCAGAAGCGTAGCTTTTGGCAAAGATATGGCCCCGAAAAAATCGCCTGAGCCATTTTGCAGAGTCGTATTACTTGCAGAGCCCGGGGTTTAGGTTTGAGATTGTTGTTGGTGGTCTGCTTACGCCGCGTATTCCCTACTAAAGCTTTGACGGCAAAATCTGAAGCTTCGTTCATTTCTTCTAGCAGCTTGGTGGAACGCTCATTGTGAAGCCTTGCCTAACGCAAAAAACCTTTCAAGCCTAAATGCTTTGTCAAGCCAGACTGGGTGCCTCACACAACCGTATCATCACACAAGTCATCAGATGAGAATATTCGTGTAGTGTTCTGTGGGTTTTTCCTCAAGTGAGATTATCCTCTTGTTGAAGGAGACCAAAACCAAAAGGAGAGTACAATTGGGGACCTCAGTACCCTAGCCCCAAGACTAAGAACGTGCAATGAACTCAAAAGGGTTTTCCACGCCTTGCAGCTCTGACAAATTGGTTGGTAAGAAATGCAGGAATGGATCACTACAGTAGCCCGTATATCATCCCCAACAAGATGACAAGTTTCCATGTCTCTTCCATTCCCTAAGCCGCAAAAAGTACTTTCCTTTTTCTTTCAAATCCAGCGTTCCCTGATAACAACCAGCAAGCGAACAACAAAACCCATCTCATTTTCTATTCTTTTTCATTTGATTTTTCCAGCCCCAAAGCTTAAACTCTACGTAGCGCTCAGCCCCCGTAATGAACCCAGAACCTCGTAAAGGATTCAGTAAGATGGAGGAGGCCGGGGTCAAGCGTCTGAACATGCACTGGGTCTCATTCTATCCCTCAGGAATGAAATTCTCAAAAAATAGGCAGCCTCTGCAGGAAGGAAACAAGGCTGACCGCAATTGTGCGGAGCTCTCAGCCAAACTTGATCCCTAAGAAACTTATGGAACCGATTAGCTTCACAAAAAATCCTCAGTAGGTCAAACCTAATTTGCTTATTAGTTGTTGGCAAGGAGTACGGGAACATAATCTCTATACAATCCCAGAATAAGCACTGCAAAATATATTCCCTTATTCCCCACTTAGAAGCATCAAGTTTAAGTACGGTGTATGGGAGTGAGCCAAGGTGCAAGTGCTTCACATGAAGGCCTCGCGCAGCCACGTCAGTGGCAACCAACAGCTGCAGGCTACCAGCCTGCCATCGGTAAGTTAACGTCTGGGGTTTAAGGTTTTGTGTTAAAAGCTTAAGGTTTTAAGGTCCTACTAGGGCTGGTGATATGGCGATATGTGGGTTTTAAGTGCCATAGGGGTGATGTGGAGATATGTAAGTTCTAAGTGTAGTCAACGAGCACAGGTTTCAGAGTGTCCTGAATCGGGGTACAGGTTACTGTAGGAATAGAAGGACCATAAGGGGATAGTGGTAGTAAAAACCCGCAAGACCACGTCAACATAGAACTGCTTCTTGGTCTCGCGCAAACTTACGATAGGGTTTGTAGGGAATTGTTGGTTGCGCTTCAAACCCGTTCAAGAACTTGAGCTCTATGAAAAAGAGGAAGCCCCACCCAGTGAAGGTAGATCTCCCCATAGGGCATTCCTTCCTGATCCATAAACCTTCTTCTTTGTTTTGTTAAGCCTGCAGATCTCGTGCTGTGTGAAGTGGGCTGGCGAAGGTCAGAGAAACCAGAAACCCTACAGTTGCCCAATTCTGTTCGGAGCCACAATTTGGACCCCACGACCACTCTTTGACTTCATGAATCAAAGAATGAACCCTTGACCTTGCAGTCTACTTATATGGCTAAGGTGCCCCTCACAAGCTGCACGGGGGCTAAACCTTTCACGCTATATTTTCGTACGTGAAAGTCTACATAGGGTTCCCTAAGCTCCGGGGCCATCCCTTGAGAGTTCCCGTTATCAGGAACTTGGTAATTGGGTTCGATCTTGGGCCCCCTCTTTATGGAAACCCCATTTATCCCGATGTCTCCGGAGAGCTCAAACAAGACCCTTCCTGCTCGCCGAGCAAGCCCAATAACCCTGAAATCCCAAACCCTACACAGTTTGGTATTCAAGGTTCAATAAACCCCCACAAAAAGAAACACAAGTAGTGGCTTCCAAACAACCGCATGTGCCAATTTCCATAAATAGGGGGACCCCATATAGATCCACAAGTATTACGAAACAGGAGCCCCCAGTTTGGGAACCCCACACATCTCAGATCGAGATCCCTGCATCTGAACTCTGAAGTGTTTGTTTTTGGAACAGCCCTGTCACTTATGCTTGTCTAGCTTCCTTTATAAGTTCTAAGCCCTGCATGTTGCGGGGCAATGCCTAGGTTTCAGGTTTATGGTTGGGGTTCAAGGTTTAGGGGTGAAGGTTGAATCGAGGGTCTGGGGACAAGTAATGGCAGAGCATACAGTAACTATGCACGGTGGAGCTCTATGTCTGTAACCTTTCAAATAGACATGCTACGGATGCAAAGTTATGGAAAGTTATGTATCGGCTGACTGATTGGAATCAGCATTCGTACATCGCAGACTAAGACTAAAATAAACTCTAACATCTGTGAAGTTAGCTGGTGCAAGGAGGTTAAACATAATTGCGAGGTGCTCAAAGCATTAGGTGAGGATCATGCTGTCGATGGAGTAATTCTTGCACCACTTCCTAACGTCCTCAGGCTACTACGAGGCCTGGGGAGAAATTGGTCCTTGCTAAGCCCAAAGCCCTAAAGTTTGTGCTGCCATTCGGGCCTCAACTCCGAAAGCCCATACCCTACTTTGAGGAACCCTGGAGTTAAGTAACATACTATGTCCCCTCTATAAGCCCATGATAACTCTACTGCAACCGTACCCCTTTTGTAACTTGGCTTCCTAACCAATTCGGAACCCCAGGGTCCCACAAAGTACAAGAAATAGGTTAACAATCCCCCGGCCTCCAGACAAAACTCAAGCTTTCTATATCCAGCACTTGGTTTAGGGTCTTAGAGTTGTAGGGATTGGCGCTTTTGGGTTTAGGTGTGTATGCCGGCGACCTGATTTTCGAGGCAGTGCCAAATTCCCTCCCCATGTCTAATGGATGGTTCCTTGCATGTTGCTGGCCCAAACTCCTGAAATGCCAATGCATCTGCAGAGCGGAATACATGTTGAGATTGAAGAATATGTGTATAATGATTGCCTGTACATGACACATCCATTGCAGACCCTAGTATGGAGCTCATACTGTCAAGGAGACACTATCTGAGTGTGCGGCCTTGAATTCCCGGAGAGCCTTCTCACGCTTCACCTGCTCGGGATGTGAAGGCTCCTCAAAACTGGGTCAATACCCGAGACCCTATGAAAAGGTGAGGATGACGATGGGAGATAGGGCTTAATTGCAACTAACTCGCATCATCTAATACAACTGCACAACACTGGCTTTGGTGTATGTGTGTGTGCCTGTGACCTCAGCCCGAACCTTGGAAGTCCGATTTTTTTGGGATGTACCCTACCAAAATGCAGGGCGCAGATCCAAAAGAGGACATAGGTCCAGGTAAGTCCCAAATCAGCCCTAAACCCTGAACTCCAAATCCTAAACCCCAAAACTCCATGCTTCGAAGTCCGCGCCCTCATTCCTACACCCTCTAGCCTACCGGTGGTTTGCAGAGTATGACGGACTGGATTATGGGGACTACTATAAGGGATTCTATGGGGACTAATGCCCTCACCTGAATATTCCCATTATTATCTACTAAATGTATCAGGAATGTTCTACAATTGGGGGGGCCGGGGTCTTCTGTATAAGGGGGAGGGGACCTCTGTGAGAATCCCCTTCTTCAGTCCCTAGAAACCATCAATATGTGAAGTCAACTCGCAACACTACATCTTCAACTTGGAGGTTCACAATTATGACCGAATACTAACTGGCACTTGTATCCCAATTTGAAGTATGTTGGGGGACAAAGCGGGTCTAAAACGCGCTCGTAAGTATAGTTGGACCTTGGGGTTTTGAAAGCACTGCACCTCCAAGTAACCTACTTATGATTAGACGTAAAGCCTATTTAGAAGCCCCCGAAGGCCCGTAATATGCTTCAAATTTGGATAAAATTAAAACTAGAACTATCATATAATTACTCCCCTAGAAACCCTAGACTCTAAATCCTAAACCCCGACCTTCAATATTAAACCTCAAATCCTAAGATTCAAACTTTACTAAACTCCCATCTACACCGTCAAGCCCAAGCGGAAGGCGCCTGATAAACAATAACAGTAGTATTAATAGTATTCGTGATAATGATAATACTCATGAAAATGAAAAGCAAGGCGCCTGAGGAATGCCAGAGTGAAGTGGTGCGCAGGGGTGCTTATGCTTTCCTGGACATGGTTTGGGGTGTAGGGTGTGGGATTATGGTTTTGGGGTAGGATCCAGGGTTTACGGTTTAGGATTTAGGGGTCAAGGTTTAGGATTATGACTTAAGGTGAGGATTTGGGGGTTGAGGGTAGGCAAGGGATATGTAGACGATATCTGCAGGATATTCTCAGGATACATAGGGATGCTGCATATGGGGTTTAGGGTTTCGAAAAATGGTGTTCAAGATTTTTTGGAGTGCTTGTAATAACAAGGGTTTTCTTCTGTGAGCACACCTAACTCTGAACCCTACACCGTGCTCTACCCAGACAAAGAGCCCGCAATGCGGGCATGGAAGAGAACATGGAAGCGACCATATTGTTTCTGCTTTACAAGGTTGATAGGGTTTTGGAAAGAGCATTTGGGAATTTGGTTAAGGTTAATGGGTTTTGTATCAAGCTCGTACGCAAGTTACATGTTAAGCGCCTTCTACCGACTATCGGATAGTAGAGAATTCGCCTGGACGCCCCATCTTCAGAACCTCACAACCTCTCGCAGCGAACTCACTGCGGAACTCTCCCCTAGGAAGCGAAATTCCTCAAAAAGTACTTAAAGCAGATGACGCAATCCACTAAACCCAAACTCCAAATCCCCCTAAAAACATCCTCCCCGGACACCAGCTTGCCCCAAGCAAACATGAACTCCCAACAGAGGCTGCGCACAGGTGTCACTTCAAAAGAAGGCCACGCGCGCCTCCATGGTAGCGTGGAGAGGGTACATGACGCCCTGACCCTCAAACCATAAGAGCCGTTCTTCAGCATCCCTCTATCTAGGGTATTGAATGATTGCCGTAGGGTGGTGGGGTACAAGGGATACTGAATTTAACCCTAAAGATTAAACCCTAATTGCCCCAATGTAACCTTATATTGGTAATGATTCAGCCTTCTACCTGAGTTCTGGACCCAAGAAGCTCGCAACAGCCTTCAACGTCTTGATGGTGTTACCTTAGCCTTCATAGCTTAGGGCGATGTAGGTGTACAAAACACTGGCGTTGCCCATCGCTGCACTTAATTGGGGTTGTAGGGCCCCGAAAAGTGGTTACCCTGGCCTGAATATAGAGGGTAGTTGGAGGGTCTAGGTATGGGAAATTACAAGGTGTTGCATGGTTGTAGCTTGGAACTTTCGGTACCTGCGAAAGGCGCCGCAAGGTAAGGAATAAGGTTTCGGGTGTGGCCTAAGTGTTAGTGTTTGCAGTGCCCAAATTGGCGGGGATCAGAGGGATCTCTGATCGGTACAGTCGAAAGAACTGTTCCTGCGAAAAGATCACATGAACTCTGAGAAAAGCTGATCATGCCGAAGTTCCTTCGAACCATCAGTTCCCAGTCAGCAACGACTGACCTAAATGAATGCAATCACAACAATGCATCGTTTCAACAGCATGAAACGCAGACAACAAGATGCTTCTACATCCTGAAGTCGTTTAAGAAATCAGAGTGTCACTCTTTCAGCTTTTTGGGCACGTAAAATTTCGGCCTCATATACTCCTGACACTTTTCATCTTCGAAAACCGCGGACACTCATGCCGCGATCTTTACAACCCTACCTCAGCCTTTGTTCAACCTTTATTTCATCAACATACATTTCACATGGTCCCACCACAAGCCCTAAACCTAATTCCTAAAACCTCTGCTAAGTCCCCGTATGTTCCCAAAAACCACCTACGTCATCAGTTTTAAATCTTGCCATGGTTGCACTTTATGAGCCCTACCCTACAAGTCCAATGTAGCTTGCCTAAAGATAACCAAAATGAGACATGGTCAATTTGAGGTACCCCCTGCAATGATTGTACAAAGGCTGACGACCATCATATTGATAATTCTTTAGGCCCCTGTATTCGAAACAACCAAGAACAAAATGTATGTTCCCGAACAAGCAGATTTTGTAGACCAAGCTCCTTTCCTGCTAAGTGGTTGATTTGGGAATTGCTTTTGGTTGTTTGGGTTCTCGGGTAACGCCCAAACCCGGATTTAAACTTGAGGGTTGGGGCCTGGATCTTATTCTCGCTCCACACAAGCCGGCTACACCTCGTACACAACTCTGAACGTTATTGTTGAAGCCTGCACAAGTGCTCTTCGATTGTATGGGTTTCGACCCTAGACCGAAGCGGCGGCTGCCTCACCCCGGATGGAACTTTGGATCCGAAACCCCAAACCAACTATTTCCAGCGCTAACGGTTCCTGCCAATCATCACCCAATCATATTTGAGTTCTAACCCAATCATAATCACAGTAGGGGACCCAGCGGGTTCACAAGTTCAGTTGCATTACACGAACACATGTAGCTACGCTCTTTGTATCTTGAACCTCCAAGAGCTAAATCATAAGAATCCTAAAGCCGGAATTAAACTTTTTGGCCTAGATCCATTCAAGCCGCCAAATGAGGTGGGGTCGGATTTTGGCCAAAAAACTTGTAACTGAAATATAGTTGCACTGAAGCTTCAGGTAAGCTTTTGTATCCTTCACTTGAGCCCAGGCTCAAAAGACGATCACGAGAGCTCGCTGGCGCACCTGAGCAAGAGCACGCTGGCGCGCAATTCCGGGAACCCCTTGTGTATCTGGGATTTTTCTATTTGATGCTTCAAAATGAATTGCCAAAAATGTGCCGACCACGATAATGATGATGAGGAGGACGATGATGATGATGCAGAACGTAGTTGGCCGCTTGGAAATCAGGCATGTATGCCACATTGCTTCACAAATTTTTGACTATCGACCCATAGACCGAAATAGAAAAAATGAACAAGACCGATGCGCTTTTGGGGTCTGGACCACCCGGATTCTCCAACATGAAACGCTGCAACCCCGGAAACTTTGCCCCGATCCGCAAGCATTGTATCTTTGCCCTACATATTGCATTTTGTTTCCAACCTCTGATAATAAATCCTCTTCGAACTAATGAAGAACGTTCAGATTCCCCTCCCTTGAAAACTGGGTTCCTCGGTTGAAGAATCTTGACAGCATGAGATTTTCCCGAGCTTTACTTCAAAAACTTGGGAGACGTATACCAAAATATTAATTTGGGACCCGGTGACGTATGAAGTGGCAGTTGGCCAACATCAAAACCCAAGGTTTTTAACAGGCAGCTGTGCAGCGATGGGTTTTTCGGTGCCCCCCGATCTTCCCGTTTGGTCGGGCCCTCATGCGTTCCCCTACGGAAATTTGAAACCAGGCAGTATCAAGGCTCAACATGAATAAGTACAACTCTGCATGGTTTATCTCCTCTACTCCCACTAGAAAACGACCCAACCTGAATCATTTCTTCCTTATCTTTCCTGTTCGTTTGGCCACAGAACTGTTGCGCACAGAGTTTATGTACACGCAGAGTAAATGATAGCAAGCATCCCACGGCCCAAAAATGCTATGTAGATGCGATATGTCGCGACAATATTCTATTCGTTGTGAAGGCCAACCGCTCGTAAGTCGAATGTGACCGACACTTAATTCTTGGGCCAACCAATCGCATTTGCTTTAGAAAAATGTGAGCCAACTTTCCATCACCTGGAAGTTATTACAAGATTGTCATTGCGCTAGTTTGACTATATGATGAAGGTCGCACATATCTGATTAAGTTGTCCCTTCAATTCCAATTCAACAACAGCCTTTCTTCTTCTAGCGTATACCGGTTCCAATTTTCTTGGGTCGCTGCCTACCAGTTCAAGGCCAAGATTTAGTTCACGCCAATCTTTGCGAGTTACGAGGCCTCGTCCCTTCCTGCGATCACATGACACACGTCTTTCACTTATGGTCTCCCAAATGGGCACCAAATATGTATATATATATATATTCATAGTCAGAACCCTACCTCTACCTGAGTTGTCCCAAATCAGAAGCATGTAACCTAAATGAAGTATTCTGACCAACTTTCGCCTTCCCATCTACTAACAAAATTTGAGCAACATAGGTGCTCAACCTAAAGTGCTCCTGCACCTGCATGCCAGAAAAACTGCACAAGTTGAAGGTTGTCTACGCGGCAGGAGGATGTAGATTTGCGAGCCGTGCCGCGTCCCAAATTATGCATGCATTCGCCCAAGCCACGTCACTGCACATGCAGCGAAGCAAGCTGACAAGTGCATGGGGGACAGAGCTCATGCATGCTCCGGATGTCACATCACTTTGGCATACGTTTAACCACTCACAGAACATGCAAACTGGCAACTTCCCAGCTGAAAGCCAATTAACCATCCCAAGTACCAGGAGGGTGAGGGATATGCTATTTGCGACAATTGGATTGTGGATTGCAACAAAGAGTTAGCAAGAAATATGGCACCACCTTTACTTGAGCCGCACTTCAGGAAGACCGTTCCTGGACTCTGGTTGAAAAACCCAACGTTCCACAACATCATTGAAAACCAGAAAAGGTTCACAGCAATCTCTGAAGCCTTATATAAAACCCATATCCAACGCTAAGCCTCGCAAAAATGCGTTGAAGCCGCAACGTTACCTTTATGGGATCCACACTTGCGTGTGGCAAATGGGATCAAAAGGTGTAATCCTCGAGCTTGGGCTACACGCACGGATTGCTTTGCATACGAGAGTGTGCGTAGGAGATACGAGAATTACTTCCACCGTCACTGCCCCTGCAAACGGTAAATCCTTGGCCCTGAGCCCTAGAACTTCATAAATCCCGGACCTGACGCTGAAGTCCTAACAGAGAATGGCGAAAGAGATGGAAGCTACTGGAGTCTTGGGGGTTGAAAATACGTGAAGCTATAGGAACCCATTCCTCCATTCCCTACAAACAACCAGCAGGCAGCGAGAGCTGCAGCTGACACCAGTGAGAGTTGAGATTTCAGGATTGAGGGTTCAGGGTTCAGGGCTTAGTTTTAGGGTTCAGGGTTGAGGAAACCTGTCAACTCTAAACTAGGAGTTCCCTGGAGCTCTGGCAGAAACTAGAATGTCAGGTGGTAATCCGGATTAGAAACAACAAAGATTAGCAGTTCAAAAAGCAATGTTTCCATTCTCTTTCCCAGCAGTTTACTCAACACTGATAACGAGCAAGCCAATCCCATAATCCTGGATCCTGAATCCTCAACCCCTCGACCCTGCTTTGGGTTGGAGTAAGCTCTACAGCCCAAATCCTGAAGCGTAGTGTCTATTCCGTTTTGTTTTCTTTCCTGCTGCTACCAGTCATGGAGTTCTCCTACCCCCCCATACCCCCCAAACCCTTTAAGGTCCCCCCTCAATAAGACTTGTTTTTGCGCAATGAACCCACTCACACAAGAAGGAAACCTTTTTTGGAGCGGCTGTATACTGTAGAAGCCTAAGCAATTATCACAATTATCAGTATTATGCTCCTGGATTCCTTGTAGAAGTATCGTATAGGGAGTGGGGAAGTGAAAACAGGCACCATTATAAAGGTATAAATGGGAATTTTATAGGGATCATTATAGGAATCCACTTTCCCAACCTCCCTTAAGCACCAGCAAGTCAATGAAATGTACCTTAAATCATAGGCACACACAATGGGGTTCAGGGTTGCACTCCAGCTTGGGTTCGGCACCGACCCACAATTATTGACAAGGAGGGATGGTGGTAATTACGTTGGGGTCCCTATATAATCAGATTATACCACCATTGCTGGGTTGCGGCCTAACCTAATTTCATTCATAATGTTAGGGTTCCTTGTAGGATTGGGGACATGTTACTTGATTTCGGGATGTAGTAGCCTCAATGATATCAGGGTCCCTAATATGCATATGGGGCTTCCACAAATTGAGGCCCCATAGGACAAACCACAACGTACGAGCCTCCAAACCTCAAACCTAGGCCTTCAATCCCAAACCCTAAGCCCCAAAAACCTAAACCCCATACCATAAACCCCAAACCCTAAACCCCAAACCCTGAACCCCAAACCCAAACCCTAAACCTTAAAACCCCAAACCCTTAACCCCAAACCCTAACTGAGCTTTGGCCTCTCTGGGCTTCTGTTACATGCTACATTGGATGGAGGAAAGGTTGAAGCATTCAGCAATTCCTGATATACAAGGTATGTAAGGTGGGGCAAGATTTTCTCCATCCACAGAAGGGTTTAGGGTCATGGATTTGGGTTTGGGGCCGAGGGTCAGGGTTTAGAATTTGGAGTGGTTCACTGTTTCAACTACGCAGTTTGAGACTTTTGGGGCTTAGGGTGCTGGTTTGAACGATTGGTCTTCAGGCAGCGGCTAGAATCGCCAACCTTTGCTACTGATGTTGAAGCTACACCTAGACATGCGGCATGTGGACGAACATCTGGTGGCACTTTCTGAAAAAGAACCATGTGTAGTCAACCGAAAAACTCCTGTAGATAATCCCTTTGCATACCTGTTTATGTCAAACAACTTTCAGATAAGCACCGTTTTGAGAATCCCTGCACATGCAGATCCAATTTACTCCAACTGCCTGCTGACCTCAGGCCCTCGCGCCTTGCTCCTTCTCCTGGATTTTCTTTTGGGCTCTTGGGTTCTAGAAATACTGTGACTTGGCTTAGGGCTTAGATTTGCAATGGAGAGCTGTTCAGATCTATTTGCAATGTTTTTTAGGGCTCTTTGTTAGTGGGGTCTCGTGTTCTACGGCCAGAAGTGTTTTGACTAGGCATTCTGGATGCTGGGGTTGTGGGGTTGCAAGGGTCTGAATATGGGCCAATCATTCATTGTCCCCCTAAACCAAACCCGCCCTAAGCTCTGAACCTAAACCTAAACCCGGTTCGGGTTGGGCTAGGGTTCAGGGGATGCATGGAGTCCAAGATTAGGCAAAACAAGGGTTGAAGACCTGTAAGCCGCTTCATGCAAACCCAAGCCCTTAGCACGTGTGGATTGGAACCACTGACGCTTTTTTAGCAAACAGTGAAAAACTCACCCGGACGTCGGGATATTTCTCCAAAACCTTCCACACCCTTTGCATGACTACCTAGACACCCACACGTCTGTAGAGTGTTCATGTATTTTGGGCCATCATTTTACCCCCAGGTAGCCCTCACAGTGGAGAAATGGAATGCATATACCAGCTGCTTTAGGTCCAGGTATCTGCAAGCTGCGAAGCAACACCGCTGCCGTTGCAGAAGCCAGCCCCAAGCCCAGACCCAAAGCCCTAAATCCTGAGCCCTAGACTTGGGGTTTTAAAGCCTGTCAACCCAACCCTAAAACCTTAAACCGAAACCCTGAACTCTGAACTTCCTTGCCACATGGGGAAGCTGAAGGCAGAAATGGGGCTTACAGATTAGGGTGTTAGGGATCGGGACTTTTGGATTTTAAGGTTTTAGGGTTCGGGTTGTAGGGTTCAGGTTTGAGGGGTTAGAAGCAGTATACCGATCCAAAGGGAGTAGCTGAAATATCAAGCCGAAGAAGCATGGCTATCATACCAATCCAAGAGGCCATATTTAGCATATCAGTCCAAAAAGGGCGTAACAAGTCTACTACCAATCGAAATGAGCAGCATTCCAACCCAAAGAGGACCATAGGGGCATGGCTAAATTACCACTCCAAACGAGCACAACTGGCATACCAATCGGGTAGCGCGGAAACATCAAATGGACTTGGGGTTTCTTCGCATTGGGGGCGCTCTTTTTGGGGTGCTGAGAACTATAAGATTTGTAGGATACCTCAGATGCAGGAAACTTCCAGTGTCAGATGCTCTTAAAGAGTGCCTAGATCGACCTCTTTGCACAGCCCCATTACCCGTTTACGAGCCCGATATGAGGGTACTTGCTTGGTGACTACCCACCAGGGAGTATCCCTGATATCAGGACCATACTTCAACCTGGGGGAGTTTCTTCATAATGGCTTTGGGATTTGAGGTTTAGGGTTAAGACTCAGGGTTTAGGGCAAAATCCTGAACATGTACTTTGACATAAACATGGTATACTCAGAACAGTGGCAAACCCTTAGCTCTAGCGTAGAAGTCTCAGCAATGGGCAACATAATTTCCCCCTGATAATCATTCTAGGGGTATAGTATCATGTACCCCAGAACTTGTTCAAGCTAGTTTTGACCCATACCCAACAATCCCCACACCAGCCCTTGTACTCACATCCTCTCGCCCTCGTTCCCAAAACTTGAAACTCTCAGTCCTCAACACTAAATAGTAGTTTCCATTTTCTTTTCCACTACCCCAGTATTACCCCAGTATTTCAACCTGGAGCCCTTGATCTGTATAACGCCTTGGTGTTGATCTGGCGTGATTCCCACCCTGTTCAAGGTTTAGGGCACCCCTGAAAATCCTTTCAGACGGCCTTATTCTAGCCGCGTATATACCCTCAACCCTAAGCCCTAAAGAAGGTGAACCACCGCTAGATCCTGAACAATTGCAGATGTGATTTCTGTCTATCATTGTTGTGTAAGGGGTTATCATAAGTATGCTCAGAGGGAACTAGAGACGAGCCTCTGAGCAGGCATCACTTAATCCTGAACCCTAAATTCTGAAAATCGCAGAGCCTTAAACGAAATACTGCGCCGGCAATCAACAAGGCAGCCTCTTGCCGGATCTTGTCCATGAAGCGTATCAGCTTGCGAAACCTCAGAGAAGTAGGTGAGATTTGAGGGCTAGGGTGAATTACCAGTAGTCGGGGGTTGGGCGGGTCATTTCGCTCTGTCGAGAAATTGTAATAGAAAAACATGGCTTGGGGCCTCCTAGTCATTGTGGGTTCATCTTGTTTTGAAAGTGTGGGGTTTAGAGTTCAGAGCTCGGAGAATCCTGAGGTCCCTTAAAAAGGTTATAAGGATACAGAAAGGCTTCAGGGTGCGAGGATCCTCAAAATTGAGGGCTATGTGCCAGCTCAAGAAAGCATGTAGGGCTCCCCTCAGAAAACAAGTGGCTCTAAAGATTGGGTGAGAGAGTATTTTGAGAAATGCTGGTTTGCAAGGTCAGGAGATTGAGTAAGTCGATCCTTCGGAACTAAATCGCCCTGCTAGACCCTAAACCTTCCTCTCCACAGAGAACTTAGAGCCTTGACTTTGACCCAGACAACCACACTTGAACACGCATCCTTCAAGTCGGTTCTATGTTAATCATGCGCAACAAGTAGTGATAGCAATACTAACCAGAACAATGACAGTAACACTCAGTAACAAGAACACTTCTGATAGCAACCAGAAACCACAATAAAAACAATAACAAGACAACAACAATAAGAGTAAAACATGACCCACGGTTCCACTCGTAGTTGCGGCAGTAGCCCTCGCATTGACCTCACCATAAACCCTAAAATCAAACCCACTTATCATGGTCCCTTGGTAACCAACCCTATTACTGGCAGTGGCTCACATATCAAGTTGCATCATGCGGCTAAGGCCCAAGCTTTTTGTGATCGGCACAGACATGCACAATTTGCTCGATGGACTTACTGACCTGAATTCTGCTGGGGCTCAGGGTTCAGGATTAGGGTTTAAGGTCAGGGTATATTCGTTGGATACTACAAGAACTGTAACTTCATATTCCTTGCTGGGTCTTAATGGACCGTGCCATTTTGGGGTGCCATACTGCCACCAGCGTTTAGGGTGTAGGGCTTTAGAGTTTTACGGGGGTGGCTTGCGACTGATATGCGAAGATTTGAGGCGTATACCTCTTCCTGCTTGCACGAGGTAGGGTGTATTCAGTAGTAGACACGCATGATTTGTACATATAGTCTGCCCAAAAGGACAGGCCAAATCTGCATCACCCCTAAGGCCCTCAACCCCAAACCTACATATCCCCATAACACCTGAATAGCAACTAAATAATCCCCATATCATCCTATATCATGCCCATACTCCTTTCATGTTTCACGGCAGGAGTGCTAAGATTCCCTCCCTGTCTCCCCGCCCCTTGGGCAAAAAGGTTGGACGAACCAAGACAAGGCATACCATCGGGTTTAGGGGGTTTACGGTTTAGGGGTTGACGGGTGTAGGGTTCATGGTGTAGAGGTCAGACCGCCTTCTGGGGTAGTAGTGGCTACGTATACGGAGGTATAAGTACTTATTGCAGCTCCTGCCGTATTAACACATGGACAGGCCCAGGTACAGTGAGTGTGGACGCCAGGTCACTCGTCCTGCCGGCACCCTACCACAAGGATCTTCAAGTGACCACACCAGGGAGAGGGATCAGGAGCGAGCGCGGAAACCATGCCTATACATGCATTGGAAGCATGCAGCACGTAAATTTCGGCTTAAAACACACAGAATCTAGCTGCAACTTTCAGGAAATTCCACTACTATGGGAATTCACTCAGAGTGCAGTTTACTCGAAGGTCCCTTCAAAGGGGGTATATGACCATCCATGACGCCTCCAGCTCAGGAGGACGCCACGTAGATAGAACTTTAAAAGGTTCTGAGCAAATCTTGCACCACCCGACAGTTGATACCAAGATTCCTGCACTCCCCCAAGTACTATATATATATATATTGACAATCATTGCGTTTTAGCATACTCAGGTCATGCAGGATTTTGCGTATCCACCGTCTATTCTGCGTATCCTAGGAATTCTGTAGATGAAGGGCCTGAAGTGGTGCAAGATTTCCTCTCTTCACCTTCAGCTTTGGAGGTTTAGGGTTAAAACCCAATGAAGCATTCCATTCCGATTAGGGGCGTCTATCCAACCGGATTCATCCCTCCCAACACCCTAAACCCTCGAAACCCGAATCCCTAAACCCTGATCCCTAAATCCTAGTACCAAACACCCCAAGCTTTGAGCTGAAGCTTTCCCACACGGTTCTATTGGCATCTTACCCTGTTCCGAGCCTAGGTGGAACCCCCACCCACTGATAATGACTCTAGGTTAGACAGTGGCATTCTAGGATCAGGGGCTCTTCCGTTGACCACATACTATTGGGATCCTTCAGGGATAAGCAGGACGGACTAAAGCTAGTTAAGGGGAACCTTGGGTGGGGCAGTATACGGGGGAGTAGCAGGAAACCCATGATAATTTATTATTCTTTCCGCCTGCAAACAGAACCCCCTGGGTTAAATATGGGAGGAGGGGGTCATGAAGTCTGTATCTCTTATCACCAGCTGTGAGAGAAGGCACGCTGGCTCAAGCCACTGTCTTCCTGGTGCTTTAGCGGGAGTGAGTGGGGGAGTAGAACCGATTACCTATCCCTATATAGCCGCCATGAACACCCCGGCTATGTGGTGTTCCATGCTTGTTTGGAGAAGGGTAAGCCCGAGAACCTGTGTCATCTTTCATAGAGCGCTAGACATCGCCCTCTCTAAGATTAAATTCCTAAGCCAATGTCCGAAACCCCTCTAACATGCCAACTCACGGTACGCCCTCAACAATCTCAAGTACGGACCCCTAAAACGCTTACCATCCCTATCTACAATTATATAACCCCCCAATGTTTAGAACCTCCAAACCCTGACCGCTAAACGCTGTACAGTGTCCATCCCCTAGAACTCCTCAAATGCCAAAACAGTAGACCCTGAACCCAAACCCTAAGCCCTCCACCCAAACCCTACATGCTACCTGGAAAGCCAATTACCTACAGCGTAGCAGTAATTACCCGCTAACTAACAGGTATAACCCATAAACCTGTAGGTATCTGGGGTTACAGGTAGACCGGTAGACCAAAACCAGCAGCTCCTGCTCTCCGCTTTATCAGCTTTAGGTGTTGCCGTGTCGCCTGCTGGGTTCAGCTTTCCCGATTCGGTTCACGGTTTATGGAGGGTAGAGCTATTAGTTCAGGGTTCGGGGTTTGGGGTTTAGGATTTTTGGTAGGGTTCAGATTTGATTTTATCTAGGGCTTAGGCTTGAGGTTTTGGAGTTTAGTGTGCAGTCTGTCGGGTTCGAGGTTGGGAGCTTCCGGGTTTAAGGTTCAGTGGTTGCCATCAATGACTCCTGTAAACCCAAACCCTTTACTGTCTCGGGTTCAGGTGAAAGTCATGGTCGGACCTTTCAAAAGTCTACAGGTCATACTCCTGAGGCGGCACATTTAAGCTTTGGAGTGTATCTGCGTGAGTGATTCCCGGAACCGTCGACCATCTGGATACTTGGAGGCTCAGGATGACTATCAGCCCGGCGTGAACCAGATTAGGGGTGGTAGCGGCTTATGAAACGTTGTAAATTTACCATGTTAATTGGCTCACAAGTACCCTGATCCTCCAAGTAAACTCTTTCATACGGGCAGCCAGGTCACTAGCTTTCTGCACTAATCTTTGCGTGATGTAAGATATGCGAGGCCTCACTTACATGACAAATGGGATGTATCCTGTTCAAGCAGAGCGGATGTACGTTTCTGAAATTGCGTCATTCTCGTTCTTAAACAGGCAATTGCAATCAATGTGTTCTGCAGCGGCACGATATTAAAGATCGTGTGCCCGGAGCTGGATAAATCTGCAGCAGCTGCAGTGACACGCTCTTTTGCATGGCTGCAACCACGGCTACTCCCAATGCAAAACAGAAGACCTCGCCCTGAGTCCCATCCAAGATGACACTGCCGCGTGCTCCAGCAAGCTAAAGACCTTTTTCGACGCAGACAGCTTCACAGTGTTGTAGAACGCATGAAGGCCCGAAATCACACGAAACCTCAAACCAGAAAACCTGACCCTTAAACGTGTGGCCGGAACTTCTGCGGGCCTGGAGCCGTGCCATCTTCTTCCTCAGCTCCGCCGATGTCGACTGAGCCGACCCGGACCTGGGGTTTGAGGCCCTAGGGTTACCCTAAGTGCCCAAGTGCTTCATAGCCATGAGGCTTACCCAGCAGCTCCTATGTCGTTCCTCTAAGGGACTACTACAACCCACACAGGGACCACACAGGAGATTTTGGTCAGAGTTTATGTTAAGTCCAGGAAGTAGGGGCCGTTCATCTTGCGGTTCTTGCATGCAAAGCCCATGCCAGAGATCCTGAACCCTAAACCCTCAATTCACATTTCCGGTTCATAACTCAAGCTTGAATCAGAATAAATCTGATCAATACCAGACTGCCCTTGTGCGCATACACAACAGCGATAGCAAGCCAGAAGCTTGAAAGTTTCAGGATTTGGGTGTGGGTCCTGAACACTAAGCACTAGGCCCGATTCTGGGCATATGGTTTGCTGGGCAGGACGATTTCGACTTGTGAAATAGCCCCTCATGCACACCTGCGCCCACGATATGACGTACACATTTTGACACATACATATAAAGCATACAAGGCCGTACAAAGCTGCATACGGGCATACATGCATCTCTGTAAGCTGGCATATATGCTTAAATACGCACTGACTCACCTGCGAAATTCAAGTGGGCATTTCCGAATCCACCTAAAACACGCTCCGAAATAGCACCTGTAGCTATGCAATGTGCCCCATCAAGTCCTTTAAAGGGCTTCATTTGGTGCAAGTACAATATCCAAGTAGGAAGCATGCTAATCATGCTCAGGAACAGCGTGAAGAGGCAGTCGGGCAAGAATGAAGCTGCACTGATCAATTCAACGGCCATGGAATTAAGACCGACAACCCAAACCCTAAATCTTATTCCTGTGCTTCTGCCATTGGCAGCAACACCTGTGGTGGATAGCGGAAATTACTCACCACTGCATATGTATGTGTATGCAAATATCCTGTACAGCCCCCCTCCCCCAATAACAATGTTTTGCAGATCTTATTCAAGGGACGATATACCGGCTACTTTAGCGATAATTTTCTCCATCCCGTACCAAGACTAGTAATTTAAAGTGCTACCCTACTCCAAGCTAACACGAAAGCCTGTACAGACCTTTTTTTCTTCTTAAAGAACACTACTTGAACCCCAAAGGCAGGTGAAACTGCGGATCGCGGACAGCGGACCGGGACCGGGGACCCAGATTGCGGATGCGGGTATTGCGACGAACTTTTACCTTGAATCTTGAATGTGCGTGCTGGGGTTTCCCTTATTCTGACGAGCTTTCATTTATCATTTGAATGCTGGGATTCGACTCTAAAATGATGCAAGCAAGTTTACAAGCAACTGTAAAGAGACGTCCTGTGAATCGCCATAACTGGGATGAAGCATGTGCCACTTGCCATGAGGTTGCAGGAAGGCCACAGGACATTCCATCAAGCTGCTCGTGCTTGTTCTCGAACCAGTTCACCAACTACATTGCGATTTTTCTCAAGTTGTGTAGCATTATAATGTCGTACCTGCAGCGGCTCCAGGCGCTGTACAAATTTGCCGCATGATTGGCGGCTGCGGCTGAACCTTTCCGTGTCAGAGTCCCACCACACACAAATTTGGGCCTCATATGACGAAGCTGCCTTGCAAGAAATTCTGAATGCGTCTTTGAATGCATGTCTACAGGCCAGACCGTCCAGTCTTGTAACAGCCTGCCTGGTCCCATTCAAGGAGGATTCTGCAAGCAGTCTCTCTAACTGCGGAGAAGTTGCGCCAGTACTTCTTCCACAGGGGCTCGAAGATCCACATCTGGAATTTCTGCATGGAAGCCCTGTAAACGATATTTAAGCTATGCCTCAGATATCATGAGCCGCAGCTGGGCAAGTACCAGCATTTGCAATCGTTTGTCCCATGCTTCTGCTGCGATGACGCCAGCTTCTGCAAAAAACTAACATGTTGACGCAGCATATGTGGAAAATCCGAAAGCGTGGCTGAGCATAAAGCATTGTGAAGCGAAGGGCTTGCTTCTGAACACGTGCTTGCAGTTCTCAACCGTGTAGTTGTGCCAGAACCTCGTCACGGTCATGTCGCCGGCTCGGTTTTGGCATCGCAGAGGAAAATGCTGTTTCAACAAAGGACCACGCGTGTGAACGCCCCCGCACGGACGCGGATCGCGGGTCGCAGGTCCCGGCTTGCGGACTTGGCCTGCGGAATCTCGCGGATGCGCGGGCCTCGGACGCGCGGACGCAGCCACCGGGCGCGCATAAGTCTCTTTCTGGGACACCTTTTTGTCTTGGGGCTTCCATGTTGGTTTCAAGAAGGCTACCGTACAAGGCTGAACAATCACCCATATTATCTTGCGGTTTGTTTGAGGTAACCTTGACCATAATTTTACAAGGAATGGAGCACCCAGATACAAGTAGTTATTTCTTTCAAATCCACATAGAACATCAGTTCCGGTTGAATTTACGATTTTCTTCAACTGTTGATTCTCCATTATTTTCTCAATCCACAAAGCCTATATATCCTCTGTATTCTCCCTTGGTGGCACCATGATATTGGTAATTATCTGTTTGGGTCTTCATATTACATGCCGGTCCAAGATGCAACCACTTTGTCCTTGCAGGTCAGCCAGCGATCTCCAGCCTAATGGATAAGCATGCGGGCTTAAGTTACAGGATTGAAGGTATAGGATTGAAAGATGCTATGGGAGATCAACTCCAAGCATGGCGCCGAAGGCAGGAACAAGCACTCGATAGCTAATTTTTGATCGCTGTTCAAGAAGGTCCCTACTGGAATCTGAAGCCCGTGTGTCAGGGATTGCATGTGGCAAAATCCTGTCTACCACTGAAGGAATTAATGGTGTTGTTTCCTTGCTTGGGGCTTTCATGGAGCGGAAGTTTCTGACACTTTCCACTGAGGTTCATGGTTGGTCAGGGCCCAGCTATGGCTTCGCAACTGTAGCCGTATTGGGGGTCTTGGTAGGAGCCGGCAAGTGCTATACAACTGGAGAACCAGCCCGTTTTTTATCCCACTAACTACGCAAAACGACAACACGCTTATCAGTAGCTATCAAGTCCCCGCCAAGTTGAACTTGTTGCGAAAGACGTTAAGACATGTAACATGTATTCGCCTGAATAGCTGCCGTGATATTTTGGCTATGTTACGTGGCTTCTGTTCGGGAATTATGGGTTGTGTAGGCCTTATTGAGTAGGTTAATAATGATGATACTTCAGTTACGATATGGCTTATAAAGGTTATAAGTATACTTACTTAGTCCCCCTGACCCTCCAGTACGAAGCCTAAAAACGACGGATTGGGGAAGGTTCGGGTACATCCTGCAAGAACAGATTTTTCTTTGTCTGGCAACCTGATAGAAATCACAATCTCAGCTTGTCTTTGGGACTCTAGCAAATAGTTGTCAGAAGCTGCTTTTTACCCTAAACCCTGAACACTTGTAGTTCGATGTAAGAGGCAGAAGAATTACCAACAATCTTCACTCAACGTCTTCATATAATTACCCTATAGTACACCGCAGTATACCCCAAAGCATTATTGAAATTGTTTAGGCCCCTACATACAATTCTTATACCAACCCCTGCATACAATCAACCTCCGTGCTTGGTCTCTTTTGATTCTTCATTCTTCTGCCCGCCCTCCAAGTAGGACTTTCGGGCTTACGTCTAGCAATGTGGAGGACTGGAGCTGTAATGTTTCAGCAATTCTATGAATACCCGCGATACCTTGAGATGTTTTTTTCATGACTTCCCCAACACCTCCTTATACGACCCAGCAAAAAACTCAAGCGACAAGCTTACAACCTCACAATCCAAAACTTGAGCCTGCAAGCCGACGCCTTTTTTGTCATTCCCCCTTACAATGGCGAATCTCATGGAAGATGAAACGGAGTGTCGGGGGGCTTCGTAAGTGGGTGAATAAGGGTGATACTGCAAGGTTACCTTAAAGCTGACAGAGGCTACATATGTACTTGCCAAGTCCCTCTGCCCCTCCAAGTCACGGTCGCCACAACAGGTATTCAGAATTTCAACAGCCCCTCCTCTAACCCCTTTGAAAACAGATGCGGTAAAGGGAGCCAACCTGCATCCATAAAGCCTGCAAGCACCATGTGATCCCCCGAAAAAGTTTACGGGTGCAAAAAGGGATTTCCGAACAAAAGCACATCCCGTAAAGTCGGGCCCGGGATTGCAAGAAACCCTCAACTGCAGCCTGGCGTAGGCGCAAAGGAAATGTCGCAGAGAAGAGGAGGCACTGGCGGTCTCGGCGTATCCCCTCCGAGCGGATGTCTTTCTCTAGAAAAAAGGCTATTCAGCCAAAATGGTTTATGATCTGGTCCCCAGAATATTGGTACCGTATGCTTGATACAGGGGTCTGAATAATTGCCAACATCATTCAAGTCTGTTCGAGTTACTCTTTACGGTGGATGGAGGAAGCTTTGCACCAGTTAGGATACTCAATACAATGTAATCAACTCCGAGTGAAAGTGGGTGTGGGTGCTGCAAGAATTCCTCCATGCACGGTACTGTGATTATGCAAGGCATCCAGGACCATAACACTTGTAACTGTTTAGGGAGGTCCGTACATGCTACAAGGACGATGGCCAAGGAATGCCAATAGGGGACATAGTAAGTTACAAGTAAGGTTACAAGCATGCTTATCTCAATAAAGGCACTTGTAACCCCATTTATGACCTTACTAACTAAGTCCCCTGAGCATCCACGTAGACACTTGAAAAAAGCAAAGATACCAAACTGTCAGGTACAAATCCTTTTTTCAAAATGCATTTGGTACCCTAGGAAGATACCAGAATATTAGGTACAAAGCCCCCAGTGTAGGTACATTGGTTACTCAAAGCAAGTGTTAGCAAACTTGTGTGAAGGAGTGGGTGAGGATCCCTACCCTTAACATTCCAGCTTGAATACTGCCTCTGCATATATGCCATTATGTGAACTGATGTACCTTTCTACGAATGCTGAAGGTGAGTCTGCGTGAGTCCCAGCCCCTGCAGCTCAATGCCCTTACAGTAGCTCCAGTATCCCAAGAAATCTCAAGCGTAGCATCTTTCAGAGTAGGTTCAACTGTTCCGGGAAACCTTATTTCGACATGCCATCTTGCTGCACTTGGGAGATTTCAGCCTAGAGGGAGATTGTGAGGGTTCTAGGATGGAGTCAGGCGGGATTCTGTTATCCTATCACTTCCCCCAAGAGGGACCTCCAATTCTGGGAAGGCACCCAGGAATGCTATGCTTGTCTCAATTGCCGCCCTGAGGGCGTTTCCAGAAACGCAACACGTACTTACTTCGAGGTGCACGGTACTTCTAATGGCCTAATTGTAGCTGGTAATCCTACCCATTCCAGAAACCTACCATGCACGGTCAGGGTGATTGCAGCCAAATTATAGCTGGTACTGATCACTCAATTATAACCATGTTAGAGGAAGTGAGCCTTAAAATTTCGTTGCATGTGCAGTTCTAACTCAGGTACAATTTCCCAGCATCTGTGGGTGGGGTTATTGGGGGCTTAGGGCGTGGAGTTTGGGATTTTGGGGTTCCGCGGGCTGGGAGGGGCAGCTACTACTTAGGCTTTAGGGTTTAGGGTATGTAGGGTTATACAAGGATAATGGAAAAGAAAATGGAAGCTACTATATTATACTAGAATATATATATATATGTATATATAGTGGTATGATATAGAGCAAAATCGGACATCATCCCAGATGATGCAGAATCCAATGGAAAAGGCCATTGACAATTGAACGGACTAGGGTTTATGTAGGGTCTTGGTAGTTTCCTTACAGAAGGGGACCACAACATCAGTTTTCAGATGCTACAAGCCTGATGAAAGGTACCCACAAACTAGGATCCTCAATGATTGGAAGCCCCCACCTTGGATCCGCCTCTAGTTACACCCGAAACCCTAAACCACCAGACCCTAAACCCTAAACTCTAAATCCTAAACGCTACACCCTAAACCCTAAACGCTAATCCCTACACCCTAACCCACCAAACCCTAAACCTTAAACCCTAAGCCCTATGTACACCCCAAACCCTAAACCGCCAAACCCTAAACCTTAAATCCTAAAACTACCCACTCCATCCCGGAAGCCAGCCTTGGCGATGGCATCCAGCTGGTCTTCAAAACCCAGCTGCAGCATCTTATCAGCCTCTGCGAAGGCTTCATTGGGCTCAGGGTTAGGTGCTCTGCTATAATAGAGTGCCTTCGATTTTCTTTTTCTATTATCCCTATATAACACATACATATTCTGAACCCTAAGCGCGAGGGTCATTAGGATGCGTTGGGGCGTATTGTAAAGGAACTACCTTGCACCCTTTGGGCAGTCTTCAGTGCGTCCGCTTTTTCTACATTGTTCCGAAGCACGACAGACCCCAAACTCGAAGCCCAAAATCACTTCCTGCACCCACAAGGCCTTCAAAAACCCCAAGCCTGCAACCCCACGCCTGCAACCCAGTACGCAAACCGTAGGATCACCTGTAACCTCGGAAGAAAAGGGCATCTCTTCCATGAATCAGTTTTACAGGGACCCAAAGCAGACAGGAGTTCGCTGGGAAATCCGAAGCCCCATCTATATCTTACACCCCTAAGCCCCAAATTTGAGCCCTGAACCCTTAAGCCTGAATCCCATAATCCTAAACTGTCAGCGGTAAACCTCACAATCCTAAACCTTCAACCCGAAACGTGCAGCCCTAAACCCTACTTCTAGGGCCCAGGAAACAGGAAACTTTGTAAGTAGATTCCATAAATGGGCTTCTACATAAACCGACTCCACTTAGGGTACCTATGAACCCACTTAACGGCCTACTTACTAAGTTCCGGAGCCTTCAAGCAAATCCTCAACCCCAAGGGCCTCGTCTAAAACCAGAAAGCTGACATTTCCCAAGGACAAAGCTCCAAGACCCATCAGGTCCAACCTTGCTGGCTTACTTGGAGGCTTAGAGGTCCAGGGGCCGATTGGGGGGGGGGGGGGGGATTTCGGGATTGTTTGATGGGTTGAGGGATTAGGGTCTAGGGCTCGGGGTGTACCAGGACCCCAAGTACCCTGTCCTATGTTTGGTCATGCGTGCTCTTTGGAAGGTGTCCGGGGCAGTCTAGGTACTTAACACCTACTTACAAGTCTAGACCCATCACTCTACATACCTTTGTGACTCAGGTATAACCTACCTACAACTGCAGAGCAAACCCAATCCCGACTATTATAGGACTTTGGAGGGCTTGTAATTGGGGTATGGCTACAAAGCATTCGTAGGTTTTTCGGATTTGATGATTCAGGCAGCTCGGGGCTTGGGTCTAGAGCTGCGGATTTAGGATGTATAGTCCCCGCAGGTAGATAGAATATGAGTATATGGGGATCTCACTATGATGTTGGGAAACTACATATTCTGGCTACTTATGGTGGACCATACTGTTCTGCTACAGGGCTGACGGCTTCGGGCTAATTCAGACTTTTGTGCTTAGGGGTCGAAGTCTGGTGTTTAGGGTATACGATTTGTGGTTTACAGAGTTTAGGCTATAAGGTTTAGGCACCACAAACCGTAGACCTCTAAACCCTAAGCCTAAACTTGATAATTTTAAGCCATTCTGCAAGAACACATGAAAAAGCCATCTCGGGGTTTAGAACAGTGCTACCTTGGGTACTGTCCCCAGCCAGTAACAGTCTGTAATAGCGCAAATATTAAGGGCTATAGAAACCTATAACTTAAAGATTATGAACTGTTACTGGGTTTGGGCAGGATCCAAGTGCTACCCAGAAGCTCCAACGGTGGATGGAGGGAGTCTTGAATCACTTAGGAACCCCAGTATACTGAAATTCCTAGGTCTTTAAAGTATATATGATCGTGCAAGATTTCCTCCACACAAGGTATGTAGTCTTTTCTTTTTTTTGCCTTGGCTTTTGGTCAGGGACCAAACCGTACTACCCAGACAGGGGCACATAGAAGTCCCCGGGCAGAGAGTTCCACAGGTTTCTCAGGAGGAAAAACCCTGAAGATTCAAGTATTCAAATTTACAGGGTTTGGGTGCCAGGTACTTGGACCCTCTAGAACAGCAACAAAGCACTACAGCGGCCATGGCTTGACCACAGTAGATTCCACTTCAAATCTTCCTTAACTCAACAGCTCTCCTCCAAGGGAGCCTCATAAAAGGGGAAGATAAGGGTGCGGATGTTGTAACAGGGATACCACGGATATACGAGCCACAGTCAATATCTTCCATTGACATGGCTTCATACTAGGGAATGAGGGAGGGATCGATACTAAACGAGAAAAAATGGACCCGTATGCCCGCCATTATGGCCCCTTGGTAACCCAAAGCCCTAACCCCTAGCGGGCCCTCAGTATCCTACTATTACGTTAGCTCAAATGGATTATGATTATGCCTGGTACCCCACGCCCTGTAATTGTCTTAGACCTTTGACCCAGAACTCTCTTCTCTACAGGTTCCAACCTGAGTTTAAGGTTTAGGGTTCTGGGTGCTTCATAGACAGGCATTTTTTGTGTTATTAATAACAGTTGGATCAGAACCTGGCACTGCTTCAGAAGCCATAACGAAAGGTTGAAGGTACCATTCCGATATACATGTGGGCCTCAATCAAATAGAAACCTCGTGGGGTGGCACATACGTACCGCTCAGGTTACCGCTCAGGTTGCACTATCAACAAACAGACCAGAGTAGGCTTGAGGGCATATTCTACCACGACTGTACAATCAATGGTTAGAAGCGGATAGTATGGGTACATATTCAGATTCTCATACCCCCTCACAACCATACCCGAACTGTACCTCTAGGAACTATGCAAGTTTTGCATGCTCTAGGCCATACGGGTTCTTTACCATGCACCGTACTGCAAAGGCCGGAGCCTAAGCCCTGATCTAAACATGAAATCTCATTCCCCCCAAACTACGAAGTCGCCTGAAATGAGCTTTGCCGTTCTTTCACCAACTTCTTGTCTGAGGCCATGGCAGCCGCCCAGGCGTTGCGGACAGAACCTCCCGAACATCCCAATCTCAGTACGAATATTACGAAGCACGGGTGTTGTTGTGGGGGGCTTACAGAAATTTGGGTAGTCCTTAGATACCCTAGGCCCTCGCCATCAGCAACAGCCATGTGGCAAACACCAAGGTTGTCTTGAGTCGTGATTCGAAGGGGCTACGGGCTCCGAACTGGCTGTTGCCTAGTGTTTTGCTGCCCAGCCGCCACACGCCTGAAGCTCTCTCAATGGAACCCTGCTACGTTTTTGTTGGTTTAGGGCTTCGGCTTGTTAGGACTATGTTTGAGAAGTTCGTAGGCTTGCGAACTGACACCCTCAAAGCTGATCCCTAAACGAGGCATGGCAGCTCAGTAGAAATTATGCCTGCAGCTGGTTCCTGGCACTCTACGAAACAAGTAGCGAAAATGCGAAGCCAATATCCTCAACCTAGCGCAGGGAAGAGCTTCATATTCGCTTTGTAGAGGCATGTTTCATGAAGCCCGCCCTCTCCTCGGCAAACAGAAGCAAAAAATGTGCTCAGGGAGCTCTCAACCCTTGAGAAGGACAGTAAGTAACCTTTGTAGGACACCCTTTGCAGTTCCAGATAATTCTTTTCAGTAGGGTAAGTCAAGAACCTAGTCGGTGGACGAGACTCTACATGCTCAACACTAAGCCCAGCCTCTGGGCAGCCTGATGTGAGGATGCTATCCACTTGCACCTCCTTGCCTACCTGATGGCAGGGAAGGTTGTTTGGGGCTAAAGATTTCGGAGGGTTGTTTAGGTTTTCGTAAGGAAATTAAGTTGGAAAGCTTAGAGCTCAGGGTACAGGGATCATGTTATATAGGGGGTGTATAAGGAGAATATAGGTGTAGGGATCTATGGAGTTTTGAGCATACCTCAAGGCTCTCAGCGCTATTTCGGACCTGGGGGGCTAAGGTGTAGGCTCGCAGTACGTGGGTCTAAGAGCCTCAGGGTATGCATTAGGATCTTAGGTTTAGGGTTTCGTTTTCGTCGAAAGTTTCGGGATTTCGGCTTAACCCCTTTGCGAAGCATTGAGCCCCATGTTGGCAGCTTGTGAAATGGTAGCTAGGGGTCTTTTTGGGCGCCCAGCTCAACTGGATTCGACCCGGAGCTTCAGGCGGCTGCTGTCCTTTTCCAAAGGGGGACCTATGGCCTTCCATATCAGTTTGGAGGAGGGTAAGCGCTCGAGATTGGAGTACAGCTTGCGATGGGTTGCCGGCTTACTTCCCTTCGTCTGTACTCTATTTCATGTCTGCACTCGTAGCGGCCAAGCGGTTCTGTAACAACAGCCAGAGAGCGTTAGGTTTAGAGATTTGGTTCTTCTGGTGTAAGGTTTTTGCCTCAGAGCTGAACCTTTCAATGGACTCGGCCTTCTCGAGATCCTACAGCTGGACCCGCAATCCCTACGGCTGTTGCGTCTTTGCTAGGCAAATTAAGGTTTAGGGCTTGGACTGAAGGGGGGTCTCTATGAGGATGCAAAAGAAATCATGGTATGATTTAAACTCATCAGGTCGCCCTACTACCTCCACCCTATACTACCACCCCCCCTGCTTTGTTTTCCCTTAATTGGCCTTCATTAGGCCTATGTACTTGCCTCTGAAATATTTTGGAATTGTGCCATTCTTTGGCTGTGTACGGGGACTGTAATTCGGAGAAGTGCCCTCTGCTATCTGATCGGCATGCTTCAGGCATTTGGAAGCCCTCAACCCTAAACTCTTACTCGTTGTGACTGCAGCTTTTGCTCATGTGGCTGGCTTTGCATTTCCTGAACGGTCCAAATACCCATATTGGCGCATATTTCAAGGTTTTAAGTACCAAGGACCATTGAGATCATGCGAACGCCTCTCGCATGCTCAGAACCCCAAGTCCTTGGCTTAGGGCTTAGGGGCCGTAATCCTAAAACCCCAACTATATCTAAAGAGGGTATCTCGTCAAATATGGGTCGCAAAACATTGTTTATGTTCTGCACTAGCAAAAGCTCTTCTAAAACCTCACCCCTCCACCGTTCCCACAGTTACTATCAATATGACTACAAGAGCAACTACTGCTGCTGCTGCTGCTGCTGCTTCTATTTCCACTCCTATTACTATCTGGCAGTCGTATTTTTCATCCCTTGCCGGAAAGCTGGGCTGTGGGCCCCGCCGTAGATGGCGTCACCGCGCAAACCCAGGACTTGCCTTCAGGGATCCACAGGGTTTGGGGAGTTTCAAACGGGTTTACATAGGGGTTTGGGGCTTAGGGGTTTAGGGGCTCAGGGTTTTGGGACATCAAGTTGATGGTTTTGGATCTGGGATACTGGTGGTGTGGGTAAAGTTAGGGTTTGGGATTGAAGCTTAGGGGCGTCTGGGTTGAGGCTTTAAGGGTCAGCGTTTCTGCTGTTTCATGTTTAGGCCCCATCTCTTCTAGAGCTTACTTGGTTGTTCGGGGAATTTTGCACATGCCTGGCAAGCACGGTGTCTTGGAGCCCTGGGAAACTTTCATCCCATAGCAAAAAGAAATCTGAGATTTTCGGTACGTAGGAAATTGGGTGGCAGTTTCAGCTTCAGAGGCCGTAATCCGTGTAGACTGCGCAGTAATCATCCCTGTATGCCAGTCCCCTTCAGCCTCTTACACAGCTTCCCTGATCCAGGATTCCTCAAGCAGGCGCCATAGCACAGGACTCCAAAGACCTCCCCTTGCCTCCGAAGATAGGGCCCCCATAAATGGAAACCACCGAGGGTCTCTTTGCAGTGCCAGTATAATCCCCCTCCCTAATGATTGAGCCTGCCACTTCTTATAAGCACCTTAAACGACAAGTTCGGGGCCTGAAAAAGGCAGGCATGGCTGGCTTGCCAAAACACATTCAGGGTGTCCTACTATCCTCCGCAGGAAGTCTTCAGTCTTGCAGTAACCCCTGTATACCCCTGCACACTCCAAGGGCCTCCAAGGCCCGAATAGGTAAGTGAGTCCGAAACTTTGATGCCCCAAGCGAACCCAATGGTCTTTCCTCCAGGGATACGCCGAACATCGTAACAGAACCGCAATGCACCCCTGCAAAGTGGGACAAGGAACCAAGCACCAGATCATGTCTGACCCTTGGATCCGCCTGAGACTGCCCTTGCCTTTGAAGTGATCGCCGACCTGTCACGAGCACCCTTGGGAACCCTTGTGACATGGAGTTTTCTGGATGTACAGAATTCGTTGGATCTTCAAAGCGCGGAATATGGTTACGGATCCACCATGGCAGTTATGCAGGGGGGTCGTTATTGAGGATTATCCATACGTTGATTCCAGAAAATCCCATTCAAGTTTCAGGGTCTTCTGGTTTTGAGGGTTACATTGTAAAGCAGAAGACCCCTGGAATTGTGAGGACTACACCTTGGATACTGACCCCACCCTAAGGCATCCCATCAACAGTGACGGTATCCCTGCCTTGTAATGAAGGGGGGGACTGACAGCCAAGATATATCGTGTCGTGATCCTTGCCCCAGAGTTCCCGGATTCCGCGATTCAGAGCTTAGGAGGCACAGATTTTTGGTGGTTCATGGTTGAGGTGGGATAGGGCTTGGGATACTTGGAGTTTAGGGCTTCGGGATTCTGGAAACTTGTTGAGGGTTTCTCCAGACCATGGTGCCCTTGTGGACAATTTGCTTTCAAGGTATATGCGCTCGTCAGACTCTTGTTAAAGGATCGAATAAGGGCTCTGAACGGCTCCCCGGCCAGTATGCCAGTTGACAACCCATGGCACAGGTTGTACGACACGATTGACAGACCTGAATAAGCCTTCTGGCAAATGTTGGCCGAATATCAGAAGCTGAAAGCTTCAATCAACCCCCCCAAGCGACAGCGTGCGCATAACAGGCCTGCGATAGGACAACGCTACCAGAGTTGTTTATGAGCTAGGTTGGCAGACACACCTCGACCCTGACAAGGCATGTGCGCTAAATTTTGTAACTGGAAAACAACTGACCACATGGAAGTCTTTTTGCGCACGTACACAGCTATCGCTCAAATAACTTTTCTTAAAGTCGCACACTCCCCCCCCCGNNCCCCCCCCCCCCCGCCCCAGGAATTTATCCCTAATCGGTTGGACGATGATGAAAACAACATGCTCGGAAAGCTTGGGAACGGACAGTTTAGGGTCTAGGGATTGGCCTTCGTAATCCACCCGCACGCTCAACACCACCGAGCCAACAGAGAAACCTAAAGTCCTCGATCCTGAACCCCTTTGAAATGAATCGATTCGGATGCCTGTGATGCCAACTCTCTTGTTGGCAATAAGACCAAGCAGGAAGGGCCTGGGCCCAGGGTGTAAGGTCGAGGGTCTGGGGCCTTAGCTTTTGGGTGAGGAAGCGGGAGCAGGAACCGATTTGCAAGTTCCGAGAATTTTGAAAATGCACAGCGTTGGATGGAAATTTGAAATAACAGTTGTCTCTGGACTCCGCGGCCTTAGACCGAATATCGTCTTTGGGCTGTAGATCCTCTCCGTTCCCGCCATCCATGCGCGCCTGAATCTAAGGACTGCAACTATTCTGGGCATCCTAAGTGCTGAAAGACTTCCTTCACTTGCAGTAGCTCCAATCGATTCCGCGCGCAGGTTGCGGTCAATACTTCGTGGTGGTCTCCTTGCTTGCAGTTGGGAATCGGAAGCTGATGCATTTACAGCTTATCTTTTCAGCCTCTTGGTGGTTTTCCTGAGAGAGTAGGAGTTCGATTAGGTTTAGGGTGATGTTTGGTAGTGGTCTGCTCATCGCATTGATGATGCAGAGTTTCACATCTTGTTCCTGTTGACACGCTAAACCCTATGGTGTACTAAGGAGACCTTCAGCAGGGTGCATCTGGTAAGCCCAGCCTGGCAACATTTTTTCACCCATCGATGCGCAACTAGGTGAATCTGACCTACATTCCGTGCTTTCGTCCCGGAAGCAAAGCGTACATTTCTCCCGGACATAAGCTTGGAACAGTACTTGCTTAAACCTCAAGCTACCTCAAAGCACCACAATGCTGAAATTTCTGTTTGGTGAGTTGCCTTGAGTTCGAAGCTGAGGGTGTAGTACTTCATACAACCAAGCCCTATCTCAGGTTCCGAAGCCAGCAAATAGTGCTGAAGGACGGAACCCTGCACATCCCTTCGTACCTACTTCTAGACTGGTAGTAGTACATTGATATACTTAACAGTCATGCAGGAATTTGGCCATCAACCATGCTTTACGTGGAGAATGCAGGAGCTGATTTAGAGCCACAGAAAGCATTATATAGGTGCGTGGACCCTAAACGCTACACGCTGAACCCTAACGCCGCAACCTCAAAAGTCCCCCGACAACCCACCTAGACTAGCCCCCCTAAGTTCCCGTTAAGCTCGGACTCTTTATGTAAGAACAGCTACGGCTACTTCATGGGGAACCTTGGGGGAATAGTCCCTAAACCTTGACTAAACGCTGAACCCTGCACTCTACGCTCTAAACCCCAACTCCAAAGCCCCAAACTCTTAAACCCCTAAATCCCCAAACCCTGGCCGCTAAATGAGCTACTGTCTAAACTCCTAGTATCCCCCTTAAAAACCCCTATAGTAGTCCCCTATAGAATCCCATATATAATCTACTTTGGGGAGTTTAGACTATAGCTCAAATCAAGATGCAGGGGGCCCAACTCTGATTGTCTTTCCGCTGGCCGGCTTGCCCCGCAATGTGGATCCTTGGCAGGGCTTAGGGTCCTGGTTGACCTCTGGCTTCGGGTGAGTGGGGTTTAGGGTATTGGGCTGACCTAGGAGTTGTGGTATATGTATATATTTACAAGATATACACATATATTATACACGTTTAGGTGTTTAGAGCTTAGGGTGCTTAGGTCTTAGGCTATAGAGCTGGCTCATGAGTCACAGGTTTGGGTTTCGGGTTTGGGTTGAAGGCTGTATAAGAGGCTTAGGATTGAGGGTTTGGTGGTTTGGCATATTCTTCTGTTTTGAGGGCTCAGTTTCTCGAACTTTCAGGATTAAGGTTGGGTACTTGGCGTTAGCCCTTTCTCAAAACAGGTCCCCCGACAAGCTGTGGAGAGATGTAGAGGTTACAGGTTCCCAAGAACATTCTTCATGTCGGATGATTTTTTGAGGAACCCCCACACGTCTCAGCGTTTAGCATGATACCTTCAACCTTGAATCCTACGTACACCTGAAGCCCTCAAGATCCCGACCTGAAGCCTTAATCCATAAAGCAGCTAGTGCCCTAAGCCCGAAGATTCATGCTGGCCGGCAACTTTTGCGCCTTCATGGATGTTGTTCGCACCTCCTTAAAAGGGATCCTGACCAAGAAGAAACCCTACAAGCTAGACTGTAGCATCCCTAAGGATCGATGCGCCCGAATGAGAGGATTTTAGGCACCAAAACCAAATTTTAGTATTCGAGACCTAAACATTCGGACCTTAATAGGGCTAGAACTCCCAGACCCCTTGAACTCTAAAAAAGCCAGACCTTAAATCCTATACATCCCACTATCCTAATGACTCGGAATCTTAGGCATATGTGACGTCATGTTACCTTCCACCTAGCAAGGCGCCGCGTCGGTGACTAGGCTCTTAAGGCTGTGTTCTACTTTAACCCATATTTACGTAAGTACTGCCATGACCCCGACGATCCCTCAAACATCCCATCCGTGGCCCCTATTTGCATACGCCGAAGAATTATCAGCTTTGCAAATTTCCATCCGAGCTGTGTCTATTTAAGAAGTTTTGGGTTCCTGTTGAAAGGGGTTAGGGTGTAGTTGCGGTGGTTGAACCAAGTAAGATTATGTTCTGCTTAGAATTTGTGATACCGAAATGGATAGAATCTACTCTACATGTTGGGGACTGTTGTATCCCAGTTTGAAATACAAGTGGCCTGAATCTGAGGCTATAACGCTGCTGGCAGTAAATAAGCGAGGGTCTTACCTCAGAAGGCATGGGGTTGGGGTGTAGGGTTCAAAAGGCTTTTCTGTCAAAAGGGCTTTGTGTGTATAGTGGTGAGGTGTAGAGTTTGGAATGTTTCGGTCACAAGGGCTTTGAGGGTATAGGGTTGAAACTGAAGAAGCCAGGTTGTCCAGAAGCCAAAAAGCTCGCTGGCGCCATCTACTTGTAGTTTGTGTTGAGGGGCTTGCGGATTGGATACTGACCCCGCCCAGCAACAGTTACATGATATACACATAAATAAATCAAGGTATACACACATGTATATATATATATACATACATGTATTTATATATCTCAACAGATGTCCCTCAATATTACTCCAATTGTAGACTTTTACCGTGGAGGCAGTACTCCAAAACAATCCCACAAGCCGAAGGCCGGCTCCACCAAGGACACTCGTTTTAGGGAAAGGTTCAGGTGGGCAGTACTCGGGTGGGTACCTTAAACTGTTAAAGGACTTGGGGGCCCTGCTACTAGGATAGAAGTGCAGGTGTAACTCAAAGAAACCTCTAGGTGGGCAGTTCTCAGGTCAGTACCTTATAGACCTCATATGAGCCATAGTCTAAACTCCTAAAAGGGGGTCATATAGGGGATTAATAAGGGAGTGTTCTCGGGGATACTAAGAGTTTAGACTGTAGCTCATTAAGCCCCATTACCTTGGTAGGAGCCTTATATGAGCGTTATGCGGGGGGTACACACCTGGTCTACCCATGCGGATGTCCTTGACTCATGATGCGCAGCACACATGAGCTGCAGAATTAACTAACAAAGAAACTTTGGCATCCCTTTTCAAGTGGAACCCCCCTTCATTTTAGGGTTGTGCTGCTTACAGGGGTCCTTGCTACAGGGCCACGGCCAACAAAGATCCCTCATTGTTAATGTCGAAAGCTTGGGAGCTGGGTTTCCGGGAGCTAAGCCCTATCTCCACATTGGGGGCGGGTGGGGGGTGTCAAAACTATGGTCCCCTATATACAGATATACACATATACATACACGTGGGGCCATTTTAGAAGGGGGAAGCCCAAAAAACATCATAATCTTGACAACCTTCCACGTAATCCAAATTCCCAGAGCATCTCCCTGTAAAGCCCCTTGCAGCGCTTCATGGCCTGAAGCCATGAAGTCTGAACCAGTAAGTCCTCAACCCCATAAACCTGAAGGCCAAGATCTCTTAGGAACTACGCGACTCATACACAAAGACCCAAAGTTGAGCGAGTACCTCGCAACTGCCCCTGACGCTGTTCCAGTGTAAGTGACTCGGAGCGACGACCGGCAACTGAAGGCATCCTAAAGCTATGGTGCTTTGCTACCTCGCTAGAGCATTTAAGCACCAAATATACCTCCCTGTATGACCCACATTTCCATCTTATCTTACACTTACGCCAGTGAAATCTATATCTTACCTATCCCTACAGAATCCCTGCGAACCCTCTAGAAACCCCGCATACTTCCCATTCTGGCCATCAAACCGTTCCTACCGACCCCCAAAAAAAACCTTGAAATCTTCAAGAGTCCATCCCTACATGCTTCCCTATACCTAATCCTCAAACATACCTCCAAGTCCCAACAATCCCACCCAGCCCGAAGCCATAACCCCCAACCCCGCCCTGCTTTCCGAACCAAGTTGACGACCACTTCCCGTTGGAGCGATTCCGAGCACATCCACGCCGCTGAGAGCGGCAGGCCATACCTGCCCAAGTCATGTACATGACCAACCCCTACAGTTTAGGATTCAGTGTGATTTATAGAAATAACAATCCCAAAGCAATCCAGGTACTCATATAATACAGGCTTAGGCCCCCAAAGCTTCCTAACCCTGGGCATTGAAGTTTATACGTAGGACCTACTTTGGTTCCTAAAGCCTACAAATTAACTACTTGGATGCCTCGGTCATGCGTGCACTTCCTATCGGAAACCTGGTTGTGATTTTTGCGATTTAGGGTTCAGGGATTAAGGGACGTCGGCGTTATTCTCTTGTCGTAAGCCCTAAGTTAGGACCATGTACAGGAGTGAGTTTCCAATGGGGTGCATGGGGGGGTATGCAGGGACCGTGAGGGTTTCTATAAGCAGTATATAAGGCGTATGAAAGGTCTCTACATGGTGACTCCCCTCTTGCACTCGCCTTCGAATGTTAACCCTGAACTCCTTAACCCCAAGCCCAAAACACCCAACACCCTACCCTCAACACCCTAAATCGAAAACCCTAGGCCCTCAGGAAAGCTGCTTGCTGCCGCAAACTGTTCCCCTCTTGCACGCAAAGTCAGGGCACGCAACAACCCTGTGCAAGCCTCACCCCTGAACTCCAAAGCCCAAGTTCGAGATCCAAAACCTACTGGAACGAAACCCAAACCTCTCAAAACCCTGTCTCCTTGCCCTGAAGCGCAACGCCCAAAACTTTACACCCTTACCCGAAGCCCTGAAACCTGAACCATGAAGCCTACAACCCAAGCTGGAATATCCAAAATAAGACCATGCCGGCTATCTGCACAGCCTGAAGCACAGCCATTTGGGGACCATCTTCTGCATAAACCACCAGTTAGGACTCAGGTTGGGTGAGGCTGATGTATTTTGCCAGTGCAATGCGGTCCCACCTGCATCTGGATTGGCGTGGGCCTGAGTGTATCAAGGTGGGGTACCTGGGCCTCAAAATTAGACAACACAACGGCACAAAACCCATTAACAAATATTTGACCGACATACCTTGTGGGCAGAAGTATACCCTTCCCTCAGAAAAATCATGGTAGCTGACATGGTCGCCTTTTTACAGGACCTTAGGGCACCTTCGGGGATTCCATATTAGTTGTCGAGAGTCTGAGGTTTAGAGCTGTGGCAGATTTTAGACCTACAGCTTGTGCAGTGCCGTCAATCCATTCTAGATTCGAGATGGCCGCAAAGTGCAGGAGTGCCATCAATCAGTCATTCGAAGACTTTACATGTCCACAAGGCATAGGTCGTAGCACTTGAACAGACAGCCATCTGCTAAAGCTTAAGCCCGCTTATAGCGTGACAACTAGTGCAAGTGTATACAAGTCGCATGGGAGCCTACTTCGAATAGGATATTGGGGGAACATTCTATACAGTAACAAAAGACCTGAGCCGGCTTTTAATGCATGCAGGGCCAACTTGTCCCCAACACAATCCAGTCCTACTTGCATATGGTGGAATTTCAATCAACTTCCACATTCCATACATCCCAGAAGTTCTAGAGTCACGAAATGTCTATCAACAAATGCATCAAACCCATGACATCATGGAAGCAAACCTCTACAACTGTGCTGAAGCCCTAAGCTGTAATCTGCTAACCCTTTGCCCCAACCCAGTTTAATTAGGGTTTAATCCAATAGCCGAGATTCTTGACGAGCTTGCCGCCCCTGGCCGCCATGTCATGATCTTCGGGTCAGGGTATATTATGGAGGTTCAGGGTAACTGTAAACCAACTAGATGGAATGGTACATGGGTTAAAGAGGTGTACAGATACGTATATAGACGGGGTCATGTAGTTATATATAGGAGCATAATTATGCAGTCTAGGGTCGCCGTTGCGACTTGAACCTGCACAACAGGCAGGGGGATTGGATCCAGCGTTTTTGGACTCAGGTTCAGGATCTAGATTTGAGGCTTGTTCAAGGCTTTGGACTCCCTTGTCTCTAAACCCTGAACCTTAAACCTCTTGATGTCAGACCTGACGCTGAGCTCTTTTGGATTTGAAGATTGCGGTTGGGGTCTCTGGACACGATTGGGGTTTGGGGCTTGATGGCATAGCAGTCGGGGTCAGCAGAAACTGCAGGATCTGCAACCAAAACAACTTGCAATCAAGTACAACGACGTTCAGCAGGAAGCCAATCCCATGCCAACAGCACGACCGCGCAGTAAGGCTACTTCAGCGAAAGGCTACCGGTGACTAAGGCTCATCGTGCCATACCTATGCATCTGTCGAACATCTACGAAAGGTGCTCTTCTTTGGGGAGATGTCTGATGTCATACCACACACCGGAAATCTCGTCAGTCCCGGGACAACTTTCTGAAAGGGAGCCCTTCAAAGAATTGAGAGCTTCCATAAATATGGGGACCCAATATTGAATTCAATATACTACGCCTCCACTTAGCAGAACCCCCGGAAAGGGGCACTTTATGTTTTGGAAACCCCCGATTGAACTCTGTCCGGGGCGGATAAAGGCGCAAGAAGGACCAATGCAAGACTTTGATGCTTATCATGATATGGCAGTTTCCCAAAATGAAGGGACCGCAATAGAAGCCCCAAAATACTGTAATCCTTACTTTGGGTACTGCCCCCCCTCAGTAACAGTTGGATAATAATTAGAATATGGTTATATATAGCCCTCAATAGGACCCCTAGTATAGACTGTTACTGGGTGGGGGCAGTACCCAATCCTTACTATAGCGACCAACAAAAGGTCTGCGGGGGTGAGGCTCAAGGCCTTGGCGGCTTAGCTTGCAAAGGTTCTCTCTTGCAATCCTGCAACAATGAGGGAATAGAAGGATCACACCCATTGGGATAATTTATAGGGAAATATAGGGATAATGCAAAAGAAAATGGAATCTACCATCTTATAATAGGGTATATAGCACCAGCGGAGCGAGAAGGAACTCTTTTTCAAATTTTCGTGTTCAATGGCGAGAGCTAGTAAAGATGATACCTGAGATTCGCAAAACCCTTGCTTGGCAGCTCTCAGGGAAATTCACGTAAAATGTGGCTTGAAGATCCCAACCCCTGAGGGTCCAAATACTCAATATGCTTGCCCAAAACCTGTACTCAATTGCTTGTGCCAAATTTCAAACTACGCGATTGTTGGGTACGTGGACACTTAGGTCATGTATTAAACTGTAAGTGAAGAACTGATCCAGAAACCCTACAACCTTAAAGCCCATGCCCCTCCACCCGAAACCCTGTTTGTCCGAAACCCTATTTAAACCGCAACCCACAAGCCGTCATTCTGAATCCCCACCCCACTCAACCTTAAAATCTGAGCCATAAGCGAAACCCCGCGCCCCAAGACCTTAAACTCTGAACCCTTAACCGTATTTTGTAAAGCCGTCGCATTCATGTGAAACCCATCTGATAACTTGTCAAAATCATCGTCCCCTGTAGGTCCCTATTTCAAAACGGAACCTACTATTTAGGGTACAGGGACCATCTTTCTAGCTGGGTGTATTAGGAAACTCTAGTGTCATTATTCTAGCTAGTACAGGGGATGTAGGTTATAACTTGATGATAATTGGAGTGCTCTCCTACGTAGCCGTAATTTTGACAACCCTAAACACTACACATGCCTATGTATCCCCATGTCCACACTAACTCCTTGAAAGGGACCCCTGGTATTGTAGTGGGGCACCTCAAACTTTTTTGACCAGGTTCGATCTCCTTAAATACTCCCGTCCTTAAACCCCAAACCCCAAGCCGCCCCTCAATCCTTTCGAAACCCTAAACCCTAAACCCTTAAACCTTAAAAACCGCCCAGTACAAGCCCCGACTCCATGCCAGAAGAATGCCTTGCACCCTTAAAGAAGAGGCCGAAGGCCGGTGGAAGCCTGACGATACAGCTTTGGAAGGTTTAGGGCTTGGGGTTTGGGGATTAGGATTGTGGGTTCCGGGTTTGGAGTCTAGGGCTTAGGGTTTGAGGTTCAGAGATGGGGTTCAGGGTGGAGGGTATCATGGACCCTAAGCCCCAAGCCCTAAACTGCGAATCCCAAAGCCCGAGGTTCAGCCCCTTGGGCTCCCTCAGAGCATGCTGGGTTGCTGTTAAGGAATTTACATGAGGTTACTAGAATACGAACCCCGTCATTTACTATATAACCATAGTCTGGTAACTTAACTTACTTTCCTCAAAAGCGACCCAGGCCGAGTTCCTTAGGCGCCGCGACATTAGCGATTGGAGGATCGTATGATAGGGGTGATAGGGATGTTTGCCGTGCTTGATCGAATACTCCTTATACGTAAAGCATCTTGCGGGGGTTGGGGGCACGGTCTAGGGTGTCAGTTTTAGATGCTGGCTGGGCTTGGGAATTTTCAGGGGGTTGGGGTGGTACGGGGTTTAGGACTGAGTGATTGCATAGTTATGAGGGTTTGAAGGTTAGCGCGTTGGGGGCTCGGAGGTTCAGGGTTGAGGGTCGTATATTTGCTGGTCACCAAAATAGTCCAAGCACATGGCTACTGTTGAAATCCTGCTCGTCCCTCGACTCCCTGCAAAAACAGAATTCCTAGGTAATAGGTATACAGTACCAGGCAGGATTGTCGGGATCCACGCCCACCCAACCGAACGACGGCTTGCCAATCAATTTCGGACTAACCCCCTTCCCAAAATAATAGCCCGGCACAGGAATCAATGCCTCCCAGCACGCCGTAAGTAAGTTCTAGGGGGAATAGCCATATTTAGGTGGTGGGGGGCTCTTCCTAGGGGGACGTGATTATCAAAGGAAGAGGCGGCCAGAACGACTAACCCTAAGGTAGACTCAAAAAGGCTGACGGCCTGCGTTTTGACAATTCAGCTTTGCTTGTGATAGGGTTTAGGGTTTGGAGCATCTGTCCGACCTTTTTGAGTATTGCCCGATAGCTCAGACCGCCTAGAGGAACACACCTCTTCTGCGGACCCCGAATCTTAAACTCTGTTCACCAACGAGAACGCTGAACCCAACAAACCCTATAACGCCCAAACTCTAAAGAACTGAGACTGACTGGCCAGATTTGCCGGCTGTAGGGGTTCCATCTTTTGGGCCGTGACTGGTCCCTCTGACCCTCAACCCTATATCTACTTTAAACCCACTTGCTAAGTCCATTGAACCTTCAAGCACATCCAGTAACAGTCCTTGCGCAAAGGGCAACAAGCCCACGCCCACTGACCGTCAAGCACGAGGTTTCCTGTCCATCATATGCCAAAAGCACAGCCCCTAAATCCTAACTCCTCAGCTCTACGTCCCAAACTCGAGGCTCCTAATCCTCAATCCTGAGCCCTAAATCCTGAGCCTTTAATCCTGCATCCGAAGCTCCCCACATAGATGCATTACGGAAGACTAGCGCCACAATTTGGGTACTGCCCCCGCCCAGTAGCAGTCTTTGACAAAGTTTATGTGAAGGGCTATATGTAGCCATAGTCTGCATGATTATCCAACTGTTGCTGGGGGTGGGGCAATACCCAATCTTTACTGATATCGCTAGGCTCCAGGCAGAGAGTCCGACAGCGTCTCCACTGGTGGAGGGATAGGACTGCCCCGAACCTGCCACTTGGTAAGTCAAAAGTTTCAAGTACGGAATAACGAGGTACTCCCTGCCCGATAAAGAAGGTACTCAGGATTTAGGGTTTGGGATCCAAATACGCAAATTAGGTGTTTAGGGCTTGGGAAATACCCAGAAGAGAGAGTTTACAGCTTTGGATACACTACCACTACCAGCTTGTACACGCAATGAACCTGACAATGAGCCCTGAACCTTGAACCCTCTAAAATAGACCCTGTACCCACACCCCCGTGGGAACGTGCTGAAACACCAAGTGCAAGTCTTAGATCAAGCCTAGCTTTTCCCTGCGTTGGGCTCTGAATCCCGGAGGGTCCAAGGTTTTGGGGGGGTACTTGGCTCTAGGGGAAAGACATGAGGGGTATATCGTGATACAAGAGATACGTAGGGTTGAGGGCCCATGCACACAACAGTTTGTTACTTGTGTTTTGGATAGTAGCCATTTTTGATGCGGGCCTTAAGTAAGTGCATGATTATGCAGTACTTGGACGCTGAGGGAACAGGCTGCAAGATTTTCACGTATGGCGTTGCTTCTCGCCAATTTGTACATGTTGTATCTCCAGCCAAAGCTGGAACCCAACTCTTGATTGTTTCTCACAAAGGCAGAAACCCCAAAGCACTGATGAGCAAAATTCACTGCTCCATTAGGGGATTCAAATAGTTTAGCGTGCAAGTGCTGTAGAAAATGCCGTAAGTGCTTTGCTTTCTTGGAAAAGGCCAGGACTTGCCAGTGGCATTGTGGTAGCTACCTAGCGTTCACTTGGCTGTTGACCCTTCGGACACCCTGAACACCAACGTCTACTTGGACTCCACAAACACCATTTGCGGACAACAGCACAAGCCCCCTGTCTTCCCGTCAACATATAAGCCCGCAAAACTAAACCCAGAGCCCAATAATCCCATTAGTCGACTAGGAAGTTTTTGCTGAATCATGTGACAATTTATTATGTTGACCAGAAGATCTCAAATAAATATTCCAAGCCTTCAACTGTGTGCTGAACTCCGAACCCAACCAGGAAAACAGGAATCTTTCTCAAAATCATCCCGATACACTCTGGAATGTGGACCCCCCAGGCTCCCATGGTCGCCCCCACTAAGCCCTAGAACCAGGGCCCTGGATTGAGAAATTCCAGGTCTTCTGGGCCTTGATTCCCAACGATTTTCGCTTCATTTTCAATGCGTCGTCAGGCTCCCCCTCTGGCCTTGTTGCTCACCGATTAGCCTAATTAGAACCCACTCGCGATCTCATGTGGGATAACCTTGCGGGGTTGTAACCCCAACATGAATGTTTAGGGAGTCCCATATGTTCGTCCATGTAGAGCTTAGGGATCTTTAGGCTACTTGAAGGCTCGGGACATGTGTAACCTGCTTGTAGACCCCAAATACACTGCGAGTCATCAGCCCCTTAAGTCCCTGATACGCTGAAAATACTGGCTTGCCGAAAAGGATCTTAAATTAAGTACAATAAGGAAACCCTAGCATGTACTTTACATCCTTAAAAACGGTACTTGAATGTAAGTTTCTTAACAGCAACCACAATAGGGTTACAAAGTACAGGCTTTGCCCTAAGGCTCTGGGACAAAGCATCAAGAAATTGGTTTTACGTGGAGCATTCCTCGAAACATGGTTCGCTTTTAAGCCTTGTAACATTTAGGTTGTTTTATCTTTATTTGAGCCTTTCTGAACATGCGGACGGTTTTTCGATCAAGGGTTCAAGGCAATGCTCAAAGTACAGGTCCACTGGGGGCCAACCCTAAGCGTGGCTTGGGGTTTAGGATGAAACATGCGGCTTTCATGTTATGACTAGCTCGTACACACTAATCAGCCTCTTGTCGTCGCTGATTCGTACTTAAGCGCGAACAAGAATGTTGCACTCACTTTTGCGTAGAGACCTTCTTTAATGTGTTTTCGCCGCCGCTTATTCAGGATCTGGCCACTGTTGGGAGGGTCCTGTTTAATGTGTTTCGGTTTTGGGGCCCTAAAAATACGGGACCGAATCTAGACCATCCCTTTTAAAATAATCTCCGAGGCCTCCTGGGGCCCTCAGTACCGTGCGACCCTTATTCAGGACGTCTAATTTCCATTTTTCTGGGGGCCCTATTGTTGGGGAGGGGGCCCTAAGATTAAAGTGAGTCCACCATTAAACCTCCAACCTAAAAAAACTGAGCATTTCCTCCAAGATCGATTATTCTTTATTGGGGGTATTTGTTTACTATTAGATTTGTGATATTTTTTTTGTGTTGGCGTGATGAACGCCACTTCACTTACCCCCCGTTTAGGACAGTCAGGGTTTGGGGTTGATGGTATCTCTCGAAATAGGCCAGGGATTCGGGTTTTGGGTTTGAGGTATTCTCCGAGTGGGTGGATCTCCTGAGACCTTTCGGTTTTTCTGTATTGCTGATTGCACATTGGGGCTTAGGATCCGATTCTTTTCAGGCTGGCAGTCTTGCAGAATGCATGCCCTGAATAATAAGAGGGCTATAGATGCCCCAGTCCTTGAATCAGGACCCCATTGCAGTCATATCACCGTTATAGGGTCCTTATGAGTTGGGGAAGCTAGAGACCAATTGTTACTGAATACCAAGCTCCAAATCATCCAAATGACCTGAGTCTACTTTAGCTCCGCAATTCCCAAGGTGTAAGGGTACTCAGGGACATGCAGGACTTCTGACATGGCTCAAGGTGTACCCTGGAAGCCTTGGGACCATATGCCCGAGATCTTCCCCGAAACCCTAAACTCAACTCTACACCCTGGAGCCCTTGGAGGCTCTTTTAACGAAGCCTACTTGAAGGGCCAGGGGGCTTAGTAAGTAGGTTCCAGGCGGGGCTATAGGATTAGGGTACTTGGTCCTTGGAGCCCTCGAACCCTCGACCGGGGCCCCATCGCTGAGGCATCGCTGAAGCTTTCTAAGGTAGTCTCCTGACATGGGCATCTCTACGGCTCGTACGATCTCCGGGAGTCTCCTTAACTTTCTAAAGCCGTTTTCCCCCTATATCAACGATTCCCACCCCGTGGCATTGAATACGTGCCGTGTTCCGTCTATCTGGGATTTTATGTGGTATACCTGAGCCATAGTCTAAACTCCTGCGTAGTATCCTCCTTCATAAGCCCTATAACGGTCCTCTATATAATCCCCTATACAACCTCCCTTTAAGGAGTTTAGACTGTAGCTCATCTGATCTTACGTGGGAAGGCATTCCAATGAACCTCTCTACATCTGAGACCAGAGCACTGTCTCAGGCCAGAAGCACCGTTTGAGTGGCCTCTGCTCAGGGTTTTTGACTTTAGGTTTATGGCTTGGGCATACCCAACAGTATGTAAAGAATAGCTGTTGTGCAACTCTTACAGGTTTTGGGCCGGTAGAGTTTAGGGTTTAATGTTTGGGATGAGGCGTGTAGAGTTCATAAGGTTTGAGGTCCGAAGGTTTTGGGTCCGACCTGCATGAGGATTGTGATTGACAGACCCCCAAACAGAGATGTTAGGAGGGAGTAGAACAGGAATGCAAAAGGTTCATATTTGGACTACGTAAAGGTAGTCATATGCCTAGGAGCTCCATTGGGCCCGCGTGCCAGTATTTCCGAACAGACCCGCTATATATAAGGCGTACTCTCTGCAGCACCATGTCTGGTACAGGTCTGGAGTTGCATATCACTGCACAAGCTGCCAAGGAAAACACAGCCATGCATGCAACCCAAAACTATGTGAATGGAACCGCAGGCTGGTAGCTGAAGAGTCCGACAGCACTGCAATAGGCTCCCTGTTCGGACCACCCTGTTCCGTAAACCCACTCACTGGCAAACCACCTGGTTTGCATCGAAGGCCATCGGGAAGTTGCCGGGCTACGCTACCCCCAAAACCACGTGGAAGTTCCAAAGCAGCATCAATTAATTAGGGAAAATGCCACGCTGCCTCATTGAATAGTGCGTGTGTAGGCATGTGCCAAGTGGATGTTCTGCACATATTTCTCCACGTCGCCCATACCCTGGTTAGTTTTGGGTCCTCCAAAAATGCGTTGATTTGGCACATGCACTTACGGGGCTTCCGGCTTTGGGGACCATACAGCAGGCACGGACATGACGGACAGAACAGATGGCTTTTGAAATACATTGGAAATGACAAGCTGCCACCCAAATCAAGGGACCCCAATATGGATCCCAACGTATGATAACCCTAAGTATAGGGACCCCAAGAAAGGCACCCATGATTTTGGGCAACCCCCTCCTGAAGCTTCACAGTTCGCAGATGCTGATGAAGAGAACCGATAGTGTCCATTGGGACCCAATCATCCCCAGTAGAGCTCTGATCCGTTGGACATCACTTCACTCCATCCGTAATTCCATGAATGCCTTATTAACATTTCGCAGCATGTAAAAACTTTTGCCCCGCTCGAACCCGTGGACATATTAGCCACTCATAGACGCGTGGGACATTCGGTCATCTAGGATGCTGATGAAATCCGTAAATGCCCTTCTGGATAGATCCCCAAATCCTAAAGCTTCCCCTCCTGAACCGGACTTGGGAATCTTAAATCTGAGGTTCGTGCGGGAGCAAGTCCTCTGGGGGCGCAAGTGCTTGGATACTGGTTGGGGTTAAAGTTCAGAGGTCAGCAGGGCCAGGGGCAACAAGTTACACGTCGGCATTTGCCGACAGCGTTCTCCCGCTTTCTTCAATTCCAGATTCCTGAGATTCAAAGTCCATCTCATGGGATGTATGATTTGACACACCTACGCCCTTGTTGATTTTGTCATGAGCCAGAATGCCATCCTACCATCCAGAAGAAGTCATACTGTTTCTACAACTACGGCGAACATAGCTGGTTTTGGGTTTGGGATGGGGAGGACATGTGGGGCATTCCTAGATTCTCCAAAACTTGTAATCCAGCCGCTAGCTGCACGGACCCTCCAGTTTAATGCCTTTTCGGAGGACCTCAATACAAAAAACTGCAACCCTAAAACCAAGCATCCCAAAACCTTAAACGCCCAAACCCCAACATGGCTAAGGCAGGCGTCACTGCCAATGCATTTGCAGATCTTCTTTGAATTGTAATTAGAAGCTACTCTTGCCTGTAGTTATTAGCCAAGTTGAACCATATTAGGGTGCTTAGCACCACGTACTTGGGCTAGAGCGACATTCGTAAGTAGCTGAAAATCACTCTGAGCCTGCATGTGGGGGTTTTGAGAATGATGAACTTTCGGGACCCAAGGATGTGGATTCAGGGATTGCAGATTGCAAGGGGGGATGAGAACGGCTTAAGGTTTAGGGCTTAACAGCCTTGGTTTACGGGATTTGGGCTTAAGGGATATTCTGGGGGTCTTTTTAAACTGTGACCCAACAGAATATGGTGCTCGCTGTCAATTCCCTGAAGCAGAACATCAGTTTGACACATGCCCACCTACTTGGTGCCCTGATGTGAACCTCCGAGATCTTCCTCTCCAGTCTCTAGCCCTGGCGCAGGTTTTAGAGCTCCTTGCGTTAGAACGTAGTTCCAACCTCCTTATAATCATGAATAGGAATCCCCGACATCCATCTCCAGGCCTAGGGTGCCTGAGGAGCCCCCCATTTTGAAAAACCTTCATATCAATACCGACATACAACTCATAGAGATTGGTGCCATGTTTCACAATGGAGGTGGAGGACTGTACACGCCCCCCCCACCCCCCCCCTGTTAGCCTGCACAGACCTCAATCGAATGGCAGACTCCAAAGAGCAACCCCCAACCTGCAGTGCTGCCCGGAAACAGTTTCAGGTTTAGCGTTTCGGACTAAGCGTTACCACCCAAAACCAAGCATCTGCCAAACAAGAAATCCTAGTGATGTGTCATGTTTTTTTTTAAACCATAAAGTAAAGAGCGTAGGTCGTATGGTCCTATTTAATACATATACATGTATGACAGATATTTGCACACATACTGCATGAAGCATCTCGGTATATGCATCCAAAACTCGACAAACAAGTACTTGAAGCACGTGCAAGGCTAGGCGTCCCCGAGTCCATTGAGCAAAGAAAACCCCCCTACACCCTACCCTGATAACACAGGCTGAGTGCGTCCTCATTGACTTGGGACGCATCTGCTTGCAAGGCTTTTGCATAGCCAGTGCTCCTTAAAACGAGTTCTGGTGGGTTCGGGAAATCTTGCTCAACTTAGGATCCCCAAAATGCTGCAACTATGCAAGAGCTCCCCCATCCACAGCCTCCCTTTCAAAGCCTACCCCGGCTTTTTTACAACCTAGTCTTTGTGGGCCGTCACCTAGACCCCTACGCCCTAGATACCTAATCTTATATATGCACCATACTCGACATAAAGTTAGGTATCCTCAAATAGGGGTAGGGTATAAGGCTAAGGGAAAATTGAGGCTTTAGAGTTTGTTTTTGGCATCCCGTGACGCTAACGGCAAAGAAGGAGAATGGGTTTAGGTCGTACGCAGGTCTAGCTTTACTCAAAGGCTCACGGAAAGCCATAAGCGGAGTTATACTTCCATAGGAGTTTAGGGGTGAAAGCGGAATGACGTGGCTCACTGGCTACAGCACACGGAAGGCTCTCTTTTCCATCAGCCAAAGGTGCTCCGTGCAGGCAGCCTGTCAAGCGCATGCCGAAACTCAAGCTACAGCTTGCACGGCCCCGCGCTTTTTAAACGCATGAAAACGGGGTGATCATAGATTCATCCTGCGACTGCGGTCTCGAGAGCATTCAGGCCCAATTGCTTCCTACGCCGACCACTAAGGAGCTCAGGATCATACACTATGCGCCACTGACCATTCCGCCTATTGAACTCCATAAGTTGGTGAAGCTCATGAGTCTTAGTCAATGAGTTGGCTAATTGACTATCCCCATTAACCCATCTGATGGTGAGTCCCGTGGCCCTCATGCTTTCCTTAAGACACAGAGCCTCAATATCGGCTCGTTTTTCCGCACCTTTGAGTGTCATGACTGTCTAACTTAGCTTATCATACAAGTTCTTGCTGTCGCTAATCAACACACGCGGAATCTTCAACACCGCATCATCAACATCCCATAAAGAGATCTGTCCTCCTTGAAGCTCATGAACCTGGAACCTGATGGCAAACAGTTCGTCCTCGGTATCCACTGCCGCCCTGGTCTCAGCGGCCCCGCTGCTCCGACATACCGGCTGAATCTTTGCTGACTGCCAGAAATTTGGCGAGATCTTGCGCAAATCTCTTTGTACAAGACGGTCTGACGCCCAACCAATGAAGACGCCCTTGGTGGAGCTTCCATCTGGCCTACACCCATCAGCTGCATCTGCCCATGCTGCTAAGACCATCGTGCGAGGGTCTTGTTTGTGGATGAACATCTTCTGATGCTGGCCCAGCTTTGCCTTCTGCAATAGCTTATTGGTCTCGATGATCTCCTGAACAGTTCCTTTATGGATACGGGACAAAAGCATCCCCACTGGTGCGCTCCACACGGGCGCCACCTGGCTGGCGTGCCAGGAGAGTGCACCTAGGACACTTCGCAACTGGAACAGTTCCTGTGGTGTCACGGGTGCCGTTGGGTCATTCCACCTAGCACGGGAAAGATGGATTTCAGTGATTGTGTTCAAGTATTCAGGCTGACTCAAAGCGAATCCTGCTTCAGACTGTTCTATCAACACACCACACTGATGAAAACGGTCACTTTCCCATTGACCCCATTTAAAGCGAGCCTTGACTTGTTCTTTGATGCTTTCCCATTGCGGCTCCCCCTTTCGACCTCCAAACAAAAAGTCATCCACGTGTCCGCAAACCCATCCAATCGGGCGACGCTCCTTATCAAAGAAACCCCAACAGCATGGGTCAGAGAACTGTCGTTCTCCTCCTAGACTCTCTAGAAATCTGGACACCGACAAAAACCATTGAATCGGAGCTTCTACCAGGCCATATGCCGCTTTAGTCAACAACATAGGGGTCTCGGGAGGGACTCCAAGTGCTTGACATATTTCAGGCAACGGCTCACATACCATAGGACGGTCAGGACCAAAATCATCTCCTTGAAGAAAGGCCCGACATATATCCCCCTTCTCCACCTGGAATCCATGATTGGCACAGCTCTGAAGGAAGACCTGTCTGGTTGTCCTACTCATCGTGGGACTGCTCGTTGGTCTATGCTCGTACTGGGGGTCCATGTAGCCTAGTACGACGGCCCGTGCTTTTGGTTTGAGAGGACTCTCTTGATGGGCTCTCCTTCAGGGGCATCATCTAGCTTCCACGTCAGAAGCCAGCGCATCTTCAGAATCTGTCGTTTTGATGGTCGCAAATGTGGGGGCAAATGCTGAAACGCTTTAGCCGTTATAAAGTTTTTCACTTCTTTGGACTTAGCATGTCTGAACCCTTCAAGCTCACTCTGTGACAAATGGCGGTCAGAAACTTCCACTGCTTGACGCTTCAGTTGTTTGACAAAGTAGCACCCCAAGTCCCGGGTCCACTCCTTGCCCTGCCTCGTGTCCACCCTTGGAAGGGGAAGGGAAAAAGTAACGGCGGGGTTTTCCGTATTCCAGAAAGCGGACTCTTCCTCCGGAAAAACTACCCCACGCTGCTCCAGCTTCTCAACCCTGTCTCCCCCATCCGTGTAGGAAGTGCTGGCGGTATGGCGATGCCTGTGCCTGAAAGATTTCAACGACTGGCGAGTCTCAAAAACTCCTAACATGTCTTCATCTGCACGCCCATTCAAACCGTCCAACAGATCTGGCTCTTCTCTCTCTCTCTCTCTCTCTCTCTTCTCTCTCGGAAGCGGCTTCGGTTGCGGGACTCGGAATTTGTTTTGTTTTCTTGTGGTCGGCGCCTTTGCTCCTAATCCTCCGTCCTTCCTCTGCTGGTGCTTGCTTGCCTGTAACCCGTTTTGGCACACGGGTTCTCTCACTTTCCTCAAACTCATGTTGCAGACGCTCCAAACTTGGCATGCTAGAGCTATCCCCTGTCACATCTTCATATTGATGCGGAGGCTGATTACGCAATGTATCAGCAATGGTCCAAGGAATTGTGGTGTCTTGCTTCAACTCCTGCCATGCTTCCTCCCTACTGGATGCCGGCCTCAACTGCTGAGGCGCTGCTTTCACTAGCTGTCCTCCCCGGTACAGCCAGATCACATGGCTGGCATGTATGTGGTGGTCCTGTTCGGATCTCGTTTCGGTTGCTAACACCCTGTACGGACCAACAAAACCACCCCCCTTAAAATGCCTACCACCATCACCTTTAAGGGGTCATACGTCTCCAAACAAACACCAAATCTCCTGGACAAAGCTGCTGCATCACCCTTGCTCCAGCAAGCTCGGCACGCCGGATGCGTTCCTTAGCCTGGCTTTCCAGGAAAGCCTGCTCAGCAACGTACATGGTTTTGGCATCCACTCCAAACTCTGCAGAGACCCCATGTTCCGTCAGGATTGGAGACTCCCGTAACATGTTTTCCCCCAAGTGACCTAGTTCATCTGGGGAGCGGCCAAACGCATGTTGAAGGGGACTATAGCCATGGTACTGATCCCTATGGTTACTGGCCCATATAGCTCTACGGAATGCCTCTGAAGCAGTCATCCCTGGCTGCTCCTTTGTCAAGGCTGTCATCACGTCCTTGATTGTCTGGATCGAGCGCTCCGCCAGGGAGATTTGCCAATGAGCTTCTGCAGGGATATGGGAGACCTCAATTTCCCGATCCAGGAGATACTGGTCCAGTGCCTTGCTCCTGAAGCATCCGGCGGGGTCTAGACGCAGCACTTGGGGTTTACCGAAGCTAGGGAACCAGTTAGACTCGTAGTACTCAATGAAATCCTGGGCACTAGGGGTCCTACTTTGATGTTGAAACAACAACTTTCCAACACGAAGTCTACTCCCCTCATCCACTCCAAGAAGAAACTGCCACTTTGCACCATTTTCGGGGTGGTTCCAAGAAAAAGCATCACATTGAAGGGTGAAGAGTAGCTGGGCTCCGAGGATCAGGACGTTTTCGCTCAGCACAGACATCACAACTAAAATGGTCAACGCATCGCAACACATCATCAGGTGCGCCCCTCTTCTTTCAGCTAGCCTTCAAGTAGTGATTACTACAGTGACCAGTCGCAGTGTGAATCTTGCGCAGGTTCTGGAAAATAGCCTTGCGCCTTTCAGCAGAAATATCTTGGAGCTCTGATGGAGCAGATGTCTCTGGCGCGGGATGAGCGCCTTCCTGTACTGCAAAACATGTCTCAGGACAGCCCTGCATGTGCCGGGCGGTTATAACCCTCACATCCAAGGCCTCGACCTTGGGCGTGTTTGTTGTCACAAGCTAACGACATGTTCTGAACAAGTGCTCCGTCAGTGCTTGCCAGAGTCCATCCCTTACACAACAAAGCGCTGAAGTTTGCGCATCCATTCATGATTCCATAGTTCACTGGACTCAGCAATTTCCAAGACACATGTGATCCCTTGCTGGGCAAACGACCGGAATAACTCAGCCACACCTTCATACTGTTTGTCAGCTTTGTCCTGTTTGGCCTGAAGTTTGGCGGTCTGGAGGGTGTTCTTTTGATTCATACGCTGAATGGGAAAGTATGCACTACTGTCCGGATTAAACCACACAACAAGAGGCTTCAAGTCCGCGACCACCCTACGAATGTAATCACGACCCACAGCAGACTCCAAATCTCCACCATTCCAACTGGACATGTGACAGTGTTAAGTTGGTGCAAGTCCCTTCCTGGGTGCTGATTTCAAGCTAAAGTGCTTCCACTATCAAAATCGCCCAGAATCATTCAATCCTGGACAATCTGCAGAATATTCGGATGCGCATAACAAATGCGCTGCAGACACAACAAGATGGAACACTAAGTGGAGTGGCACAAGCGCAAAGCCCCAATGCTTGGCATAATGAATCAGGATCATGGTGTTTGCACAAACTGCCACTCAGCAGCACACCATGAATGACATGTAGCCCCAAGTTGCCAAATGGCGATTATCAAGCAGCTGGACCCAAACTCAATGCAGCAAGCACACTGCTTCAGCTCAACGCACACCAGAGCCAAAACACCTTGAGCCTAAATGTCCTGTTGCGAAATAATCTGACTGGAGCAGGCATTTTGCCTGGAAAGGGTTTCAGCATGAAATGCTTTGAGCCAAAATGCCCTTGAGCCAAAACCT